ACAGTCTCTTCTTCTTTCGATTAGCATCAAGGTAAATTGCATTTTCTATTGATGTTTGTCGAAATACGGATTCTTGTAAGAAAACCGTACATCGAGGACGATATTCAAAGATTAAGAAAATCGATAAAGATACCGATTGCAAATTTTGCTAACTCCGCTTGCTTTCTCTGCTTGTTTCAGAAGATCTTTACATTGGACCATGGCTACGTCTGCGTCGGACACAAGTATTCGAGTGGCCATCAGGGTACGACCATTAATGAGACGGTAAGAATTCGTATTTTATGTTTAAGAACGATATGCTAGGGGTAGATTCAACATCTTAGGTAATTATAGCGTCCCTGGCAGTATTTTGAATTCAATACAACCTTGAGCAAAGGGATTTATCGACTTTATAGACTACCATGTGGTAGTATTTTAAATAACGTTGTAAATATCAAATGCAGATATGTCGAAGTAATTGTGTGGTCTGATCAGTGGCGTGCGGTCATGCAAGCGTAGGCAAGCGCCGCTTGCCTAAGCATTTTACCGAACAAAAATTTTTTGGATCAATCTCTGAGAAAAATCAGTTTAAATTTTTCTGTTCTAAACAATGTCAACGTAATCTTTTGTCTAAATTGTCTTTACAGTTGAAATGCTTGCTATTTGTACGCGATTTACTGTCGTGGTTTTCGGTTTCACTTTGCCACACCTGTAAGATGAGTCAAGTGGATTAAATACACCTTAAAAATTTCTTATTTATTAACCAAGGCAAGCGCGCTTGCCTTCGGAGCTCAATTTGAAAATCTGCGCATGCGTTAATCTAGATTTGGAGGCTTCTTATTCGAGGAATATCGAGAAAAGGCAAGCGGCGCTTCTAAGGGCGCCGCTTGATAGCGATTGGTCAACAGTCTTGTACGCTCGCAATTTTAAACACATATCAGCGCACGAATAATATTCGTATATTCAACACATTGGACATCCGAATTATTCACGCCGTTAATGTTATCGTTTATTAAAAGATGACTGAGAGCGAAAGGTAATGTTCTGATTTCTAATTCAAAGTAGTAGGTGCTTTACTGGTTATTTTATTATTTTCTGCGCACAATGTGCGTAAACAAGCAGGGGCCGCAGTCTGCAGAGACATCGAAAATTCGAAATGCACGCAAACGTGTGTTGTGGTAAAGTATGACTAGCATTATGACCAAAACACTATGCTCTTGTCAGTCTTGTGTCGTTGAATTCGTAAATTAATGACTAAAAATAAAAGGTACAAGATACTAAATAATAAACACGACTCTCCGATATTCTGAAACGTACGAGTCAGTGCCAGACACATTTTGAAGAACGGGAGAACACGTTGACATGACGTCATTATACCAAAATATAAACATTAAACAACGCCATGGCCTCATTTCGTAACACACCGTGCCAATTTTGTGCGCGAAACTGGCTGTTCTTAATTGTTATAATCACCAGAGCCCTCTATAGTATAGTATACTATAGAGGGCTCTGATAATCACGACTGCTACAATACATTTCGCGCCTATTGTCTTGCAATTTATGTATGTAAGACAGGGTTGCCAGGTTCCTTCGCATGCTCGAGGCCAAACACGGTAGAAAATGAGGCCAAATTTCAACAAAAGAGGCCAAATTTCTAGAACAACCAGCAACGCAGGATTTGTGCCCTCCCCCCTGTAAGCTTGACAAAAATCGTCAAACAAGAGTTTGGTCAATCAGGAATCATGAATGAGGCTCGTAATAGGAAGTAAATTAAATCATAATGACATGCAAGTATAAAGTTATGACTGACAATAACAATATACACTGATACTGTTGACATCTGTTGAATGAAACAGGTAAACAACGTTAGATGAAAACAACCAATACTGGGGTCAATATAAACTTCTGAATGTCACTCTTAAATGTCCTATAGGTCGAGTCAACTATCAATTTGTTTCCTTTTGAGCATCGTACATATGTTTGACCGTAAACAACTCGAGCATTCGCCTGGTTGTCTTGACGTCCACGCAGCAATTTTCTCCAAACTGAAGCTTTGAGCGAATGCGAATTATGGCTTTCATCAACTCTTGTTTCATTCTGTTGCGCTGTTTAGTCTTGATTGATGCTAACAGGGAAAATGTCCTCTCCACCACAGCATTGCTTACAGGAGCAGTTAGACAGTAAAAAGTATACGTTGTTAACTGCTCAAATGGCTTGTCTCCGAGTGAAGTTTGAATGTCGACGATGCATGACCAAAATACAGCCGCTGTATCTGGAATAGTTCCATCAAAGGTTGAATCTTCTTTCCAATCACGGTGAACGATCTGCCGGTACTGCTCTTCGATCTCGTTGAGTTTCTCATATCGTAGATGTGGAAGTGGCAGCTGACATAAAGGATCTCTGGTTGCTTCATCTAATACTTTTCTTGGATGAAGGACGCTTTATCCTTTGAATATGTTTTTTGTGGCAGGTAGACGCATTTCAACTTGATTTAAAGCTTCCATAAGAAAATCTAAGCATCGTTTTTTCAAATCAAGAACTTTAGCTTGAGCAACAACCTTGTTCTTTTGAGAAGAGACATATTTTGTTGCTTCACACAAGAACTTCCCACCAAAATCTACTTTTTCAATGGCGAGTTGCTTGCCTTGTATATCGAAAACTCTTCCACCCAGAGACTTATGGTGTGTATCCAATTCAGTGAACATCTCTTCGGGATCGGCATCGGTAGCTTGGAAGAATGCATTTACTCGCTCGAATTCAGTGACTAGAGGCGACACAAAATGAAAATATAGATAGACAATTGGATCGTTGAGCATGTCCAAAAGGGTACGTGCTTTGTAACGGGCATTCTGTGTACTTGCTGGTTTCGCTACAGCAAAATAAGCTTGGAGCTCGTTCCAATTAGCCAAAACACGGAAGATCAACTTTCCTCTCACCAACCAACGTGTTGCTGAATACTTCTAAAATGGTGGTAATTGGTCGTCATCGGGACTCATTGTTTCATAAAGTAACTTGTATGCTTCGCGTCGTACAGTGCTTTTGGAATACCACTTTGGAATTTCTGCTAGGAGGAATCCAAGGCTGGATGGAAGCTTTTCAAAAGCATGTTGGACGCATAACGACAACTAATGGCAGATACACGTCAATTTGATCCAATTCGGGGCAACAGCTTCAAGCCTTGTCCACACTGAGTCATGTTTGCCATGTTCAAAATATAAGCCTATGACCGGAGCAAAAATCTATGAGCCTATGACCGGAGCAAAAAGCCTGGGAAGTAGTGACAGAATAGAACCATTTCGTTTATCTTTTGTGAAAGAACTGTGAAACTTAGTAGTAATGACATTAAAAATCTGTGGGAAGCAAAAAGAAGCCAAATGGCCAAATTTATTTTTTGAGGCCAAGCAAGGAAAAAAGAAGCCAAATTTGAGTTATTTGGCCTCCAAAAGGCCAATCTGGCAACCCTGATGTAAGAAGATATTATCTGTAGCATGTAATACAAGATTATGATATTGACAAGAGCTTCCTTTTGCGTAGTAGTTTTGATATTTGTATCCGGTAGATATCATTTTCGGCTCTCAAGCGTATCAAAACGTATCTTCGCAGTACACAAGGGCAAGAGCGACTTTCTGCATTGGCTACAATTTCAATCGAGAAGGAGATGTTGGTAAGTTTGCAGGGGAAGCCACGATTCTATGAGGACGTTATAAAGGAGTTTTGCGCAAAGGAAAGACGGATGGAATTTACATTTAAGTAAATCTGTTGTAGGATTTTGGACTATTTCGTTCTGTTACTTCTTCACTACAATAGAAATGCACGCGTAGCCATTTACTTAAAACGACTTTATATCACAATACCACATGTAATACTTTTAAACCGTAATTGTGATATATACTCTATAAAAGTTTTTGAATTTTTTAGATTTTTTCAATACTGTTTCAGTCATGACAGATACATTTTTTTCGACAAAGTACTCCCAGAAATCGCGGGAAATGCGCTCCATTAGCCTTCAAAATCCAAAAATTTTCTGGGGGAGCATGAATGTAGTATGAAAGCCGCGAACCTCACCCCCAGCGCTTGCCTATTAAATTCGGTCACCGCACGCCACTGGGTCTGTTCTTGAGAGTATCAAATCTTGGATTTTTAGTTTACAATTAATAGTCAGGATGTATCGAAGATGGGCTAAGTATAACGTAAATCTTGGATTTTTAGATGGTGGACATGTGCAAAGGGCTTTATGTATTACAAATTGTTGTGTTCATCTGCCTTTAATCATGCGACTACTGAATTATTTCTACATAATAAGAGTGTCAACAATATCTCAATTATTAAACAGTTTTTTATCAAACTTATCCCACATTCCCACTTATCCTATAATTTTTACATTCACAGCTATCAATCTTATACAATGGCACATGATTCAAGTTCATATTTTTCTTGGTTTAATTTAATAAAAATCACCACATCATATATATCAAGTTGATTTTAATTTGTTGGGGACTCTCAATGGACATGCTTTGCTTACACCATAATGAAGCAGCATAACCAGCCTGAATGTTTGAATGGTCCGTAAATTTGACATTGTTTATTTGTTTAAAAATCTATTGTTTTTACATAGAGTGAACACCAAATACTAATTTAGCACAACAAAACTTTCTGGCTGGCAACACCACTGATTATTATAATTTATATAATTTATAACGCTCTTATTAAGCAACTGAAATTTGTCTTACTTCTATATTTTTTATTTCCATTCTTATCTCCATAAAATCTTACTTACGATCCCTATCCTGTAAGATACAAAGATGCTGTTCAAGATCTGGTGTAAGATCTTACTAAGATTCTTGCATGATCTTAGTAAAGATTTCCACCATTCTTGACACACAAACAAATAAATCAACTCAAAACTGACAATTGAAAGTATTTTCCATTTAGTGAGAATGATTGCAATTGTGATGAACATTGGCATGGAAATGATGGCACTTCTATTTCACAGTACCAAGATGGAAAGAAGCTCCTGAACACAACTTTTACCTTTGGTATGCATCATTCAAACTTGTAGCACTTTGAATGAGATACCCCCTTTGTATGTACATGCTCTCCCAATCTTGTTAACCTCTCATGTCTCACTGCACCACTGATAAAGCCAGCCTGGATTTTGTATATAAGTGTCAGAACACCAAGTTTTATGTTTGGGTCATCTTGAGGAAATTGATGTCAGGGTTTATAGGAAACTTGAATGCTCTAGAATATCATTAAATTAAAAATAAATAATCCAGAGTCCTCGATTTGGTAAAGATATTCTCGAAAGTCGTTGCATTTTTTAATTTTTTAATACCTGTTTTGATCGACTTTTTGTTAACATATCGGATGGCGCAATAATTTCCTTTTTCAAAAGTGGAAGTGAAATTGTAATTTGAAATGTCATAACTTTGATGTAACCTACAGAAACATGGCGTTTTTCAGCGTCACATGACTTCGTTAATATCATACGTACACCCATGACAATGTGAAAGGATTTTAATAGAAAAGAAAATCGTAAAGGTGAAACATTCATGAGAAGAAAACCATGCATGTGGTGTGAGATCAGATTAACTGCTTTCGATAGAAAAAACATCGTTTGTTCTTGATTCATTGAAAAGCTCTTTGGTTTTAATTTTGATAATGCGCTTAGTAATTTTTTTGCGTTAGTCGTGCTTCGGATGTATTCGATGTCTTAATTACTCGTCCTTGACTTTATTCAAAATATGTCCTTCAAAGTCCGTGAAAAGTCTCAATACTATTGCTTTGTGCGAACGCAATTTTCATTTTTAGACATCGTTTATGATGCTGTTTCGAAGTTAAATTAACAGGACAAAACTTTCTCGCCGCCTATGTCGACATATGTAGCCACTTTTTTTACATTACTCTCCCGGTCTTGTTACATGGAACGCGAAAGCTTTTAGTTTTTATTTTTGTGGGGAAACTAAGGCACCGTAAATTTGCTTCCTCCTCTCTAATTTATCCTTGTAAAACACGCATTCGCTATGTTTGCAAGCTCAAGATGGAAAATATTGCACGGTTATAACCCCATTTGCTTTGTAGTCCATGCGTTAACCTCTAATGATGATTCACTGCACCAATGGTGAAGTATCCTGAATTAGTTATGCACCGATACGATATCGCCGTATCGGCTTTAAAATAGAATTATCAGTATCGGTATTTTTCTTGCCCATAATATTGATATTTAAACATTTCATTGAAATAGAAATACAATTGAAGTAAATCATTGTTCAATAATAGTAAATATATTTTAGTAAACAATTCTTGTTAAATTCATGCTACTTAAACTTTGTTAGTTCCACACGTTCCACATGATGTTGATTTCCATTCACTATTGTGCTGTAAAATATGGCTGCAGTGTAAATAAACACTTTGAATTATATATTTTTTATCAAACGAACACTCACTGGTGAGTAAAGAGTAGCATACTTTATCATTTTTAAGTTTCGTAAAATATCGGTATCGGCACAATATCGGTTAATCGGTACATCGGTAAAATCCTATATCGGTGCATCACTACACTGAATTTTTATTCATGCTCTGCAGATATTGCGACTCGTTTTTTTTTTTCGAAAATGAATTCCATTCGTTGTCTTTTCAGTGAACGAACACAAAATTATATGCGTTGCAGGAGTTAAAAATCTGTGTAGCATTGCCTCCTTGCCACACCATATGTGCTTCCGATCTCCTGTCCTCGAGGTACGTACGTAGATACATTTGTAATAACTTTGCTACGTATTTTTTTTTCTTCAAGATCGTGTCTTTGGTAAAGAAAGCAAAACGATCGATCTGTACGACGACTTTGCAAAACCAGTTGTTCGTGCCGTTATGGAGGGTATAAATGGTATGAAAGATAAGCGTCTTGATAATATACGTATGATTCAGGGATGATATTGGGGTACGGAGGGGTGGCACCCCACCTGAGGTCTTGGTTAGAGAGGATGCTGAAGTACAAATATATGCTAATTTATGGTATATTAGCATCATCGCTACTCTCCAACCAAGGTAGTTACTTTGAATATATGCTAATATGCATTCAAAGTAGCCACCGAAATTCAATTCAAACTAAAGAACAGAACCTCTCCCGTCCTAAAAATCATCCCTTATCCATCCCTGATTTAATTACTGCTTATTAGACCGAATGTACGGCAGAGCCATTGGCAATATATTTCTTATATATCTCACATGTTCCTATACAATATCTTATCTATAACTATAGTATAATAATATCTTATACATCTTGTACCTTATAGCTTATAATATATCTAAATCTTATATGATCTTGTAACGCCTTAAATCTTACTATATCTTATTTACATTATATACTAATAACGTGGATTGCAGACTTTTAAGTTTCTCTCAAGGTACGCTGTTTGCATATGGCCAGACTTCGTCGGGAAAGACATTCACGATGACGGGGACGTCACAGTCGCCAGGCATCATATTATACGCCTTTCAAGACGTCTTCGACTACATCGCGGACAGTAAAAATCAAGAGTTCCTCCTACGAGTGTCTTTCTTGGAAATCTACAACGACAAGCTGACTGATCTCCTCAATCCCGATCAGGCGAACTTAAAAATACGCGAAAACACGAATCGCGAGATATCTGTGGAAAATTTGACCGAGGAGGTCGTGACGTCCATTGATGAGGTCACTCGGTTTATGAACATTGGTCAGAAAAATCGTCGCATTGGGGCGACCAACATGAATGAACGGAGCAGTCGCTCCCATACCATCTTCCGAATGGTAATTTGTTAGCTACTCATGGATTTGATCTTTTGTCTTTGATCTTGAATCTTAAGCCATTTCTGATTTCATATTCAACAGCATAATTTATATCAATTTACTATGGGAATTAGATATGAAATAAGAATATAGTTTGAATACTTTTTGAGGTAAAGTCTAAAAATTGTAAAATTCAAGACTACGAGTTAACTACTCAAGATTATGTTTATAAAACCATAGTGTTGAAATTAATCGCACTCTTCAATGTATAAGATAACGGTAGCAGTGGCGTAGCCGGTCCGCAGATTTAGTCCTTTTAAAGAATGTATGTCAACCAAGATGCATCGCGCGCTTTTGTTTTTGTTTACATCGTTAGTTTTTGATATTGCGGCACACATTGAATTCAATTTCGTCACTATATCGTCTAATTTATCTAGAAAGTTAGCAAAAAACATTGATTAAAACTCTATTTTACATTAATTATTACCGTTTGTCTAAGTTGCATGGACTATATTAACAAAATTCGCCGTTTTATCGACCCACATATTGGCCATTACATTGTGATTAACGCGCAATGCATCTTGGTTGACACATATTTTTTGAGCAACTTTTCTCAAATTTTACATTTGGATTCTGTGATTTTGATTTGGATAAGAAATTGCCTTCCGTGATTCGCCAACTCTAACCATATTATTTTCGTTCATTATTAGTGAGAACTCTTGTTTAAATTTTTAGATTGCAGAAAGCAGTCCAAGTTCCTTACACAGCTGTGAACCGGGCGAGATAGGCGACGCTGTAAAAGTTTCGCATTTGGTTTGTACTTTGACATCACTTTCCAAAAACCCATATTTTAATATATACTGACTGCTTATAAAGTTCTTGTATACTGGAAAATTCATCATTAAGGCACACATAACAGGTTTACGCGCAGGTTAAATAATACACTAACATGACATCTGACACAGCAGTCATGAAAAGAAGCCGAAACCAGGGTGGCTACAAAGATTTTACGGGAAAATCCAATCTGTTTGAAGGTTATATTTATCAACATGATGCAACTTTGTACCTGCTTGACACTGGTTCCTTGAATTTAGAATCTAGTCGACTTGGCTGGTTCCGAACGTGCTTCTGCTAGTGGAGCGGAGGGTCTTAGGCTTAAAGAGGGCTCTTTTATCAATACAAGTCTTTTTACGTTGTCTGATGTGATCTACAAGCTCAGTGACGGCGATGGGTACGTAATCGTGTACATTGTAGTACATTTATTCATTAGTTTTATTTGGAGGTATTATATTTCAGTTTTACCTTGCGAAATAGCAAAACTTTGGATTTTTCTCTTTCCCCACGCATTTGAGTTTCAACTTTATTCCAACCAATCGAATCATTGTAGTCTTTTTCACTAGCTTAGGCGGCTAGCAAGTTGAAAACATAAAGAGTTTCAAAAATGCAATTCGAATTAGTTTCCTTAAGGAGACTTTGACGTGAACTAAAATTTTTTAATCAATTTGTGGTGCTCTTCAACGATTGTTGTGCTCTTATATTTAATGACCGCTTCTTTTTTTTGTTCAGCGGTTTTATTCCATATCGCAACTCGAAGTTGACACGTATCTTGCAAAATTCCCTCGGCGGTAACGCCAAGACGTCAATCATCTGTGCGATAACCCCAGCGTCGATTGACGAAACTCATACAACTTTGCAGGTATGTGGGTATTTTAACAGTTTACTTTACGATCAAAATCTTCGGGCTTTAAATAACGAATCCTTCTTATTACATTGTTTTAATAGCATAAGGTTGAACATGATATCAAGAGCCATTATAACATATCAATGTAGAACATTTTTCAAACCTTCGCTGATTTGTCCTTGTAAGACTGTTCATTCAAATTCCTCTCCTTTAAGTATGTTGTAAATATGTTTGAAGCCAGATTCCTTGCTTTTTTAGTGTATCCCGCATCTTTTTTGTTCAAAAACTTTCGCATATCGTTTTTAGAAACTGTGGCAAACATTGTTATTTGATTTTTTTCGAAACTGTTTTTTAATGGCATTAGTAATTGTCAATAACTACTATTTGTAGATAATACGTCATAATAACAAAAATCATAAATTATTTGTCAATATGACGTCATAATTACAGATATCGAGAATTATTTGCAAGCAGTTGACCTGATCAATCAAAACTGACATTTTTCATGTAGTGAATAATGATGATAGTTATGCCGATTCATCATTGCTTGTTACTTATGTGAGCATGATTGCCTGTTAAGCCAGTCAGGAAGTATTGTATTGTTCAAAAATTGCACATGAACGGATTTTCATATTTTTTGCACGGGTGGTGCTAAAAAATTTTGGTGGAGTGGTAAGGAAGTGACTTAAGACTCAAGAAAAAGTAAAGAAGCTTAGGTGTGGTCGCATGCTGCAGTTACCGTGGGTTATAGTGTTGAGAGATTGCCAAAAAACAATCATATCAGCTTTCCTGCCGATTTGATTTGCTAAAAGTTGAGAGGGCGTTAAAATGTTTCTTAGAGGGGTGAGCAATTTATTTAGGGGCGAAATCTGTTAAAACAAACTTAAAAAGTCATCTTTTAATTACGAATTGAGTCTCATGCTGATTTATTCGAAGATGTCTTAACTTAAACAGATGAAACGTCAAAAAAACCCCTTTTACCACAATTTTTCATTATGCCTCTATTGAAAATTATGTGTTGGATCACTTGTCTGTAATATTCGTATTACAAAGAAATGTGAGAATTGTTTTTGCCTTTTCCGTATTTTGAGATCCATAATGTTAAACTAGAGCTTGTTACACTTCTAAGAATATAGTAGTTCCCGAGAACTTTTTGATGAAGACAGCGTGTTTCTTTTTTAGTTCATGAGCCGAGCCAAACGAATAAAAATAATCCGGAAGTAAACGAGGTAATGTTTCGTTAGATACTTGCTATAGCGAAATGATTTCGGAAATGATGTGAAGAAATAACTGTGTTTGTGTGTCAGTGTGTGCCTTACATATATCTCTTCAACAGATAAAGCATCAGAGTTCAGTTTTGCTAAGGGATTGTGGTGGTTTGATTGTTATTGATTACGTTTTATTTGATGTGCGAATATTTATGGTTCTCGATCAATGAATTGTGCCATATTTGTGTCCAGCAACATTTCTATGAACCGAATGAAGAATATCGTGCATGCGTTCAGTTTCTCGGAAAATCTGAATTTGAAAGTGATGGGCGTTTATAACATTTCGAGATTGTAGACTTGTGATTTCAGTGAAAAGGAAAACGCATTGTGGTACGAGCCTTCGATCACGTGCCGTTCATGTAAATTTGCGTGCTCAGTAAAACCCAGCGTGACTATATAGAGTGTGAGCATGTGACGTCCAATTGGCCATATTTGGGGGAGAGTACATTGAAGTGCCGATGCCCAACAGAGTATGAAACTAATATCTATTCTTTTCACTATATAAATGAGTTTTCACCCCAACATGGCGACCCCTAAAAACATTCTACAGGCCATTTTTATGCTGTATTTTGTCTGATGAGCTTAGACTGTCCCTTCTACTAGTTGCGAAATTCAGAACGGGGTGAGTATTTAAGCTCATTCGGCCATATCTAGTATAGAAACTTACATATATGGTCACGCTGGTTGTTGAACCAATCCTTTCAATCTTGACATTGGTTTTATCGACTTTGCAGGTGTTGGACGATGGTACCATGTTAAAGCGCTGTCGCAGACAAATCAAACGTTTAAAACACGAGTTAGAGCAGGTATGGTGTCATCGATAAATGGTCATTAACATCCTTAAGTGTAACATTGGTCACGAAGGAATAAAGTCATGCTAAAGTATGGTATGAAGGTTATCATTGGAGTATTGATCGTTGGGTGTATTTTATTTGAATACAAACGCAGATATTACGCGAAAATTCATCGGCACACACGAAAAGATACATCACGCGTTTTAAGCAAGCATCAGTTTCAAAACGTGTATCCATGCAACAGTCTCAAAGTTTGTGTCTTTATGTGCTGTGTACAATGACCTACTACGCAATCTACTAGATATCTGACTCCGCCAAAATTCTATAGTTACCAGTGAGGCAAGCCGCCACTTTGAAAGGTTGCAAAACTTATGCTCTTTACGCCCTTTAATATCTGCCTTTCCTGAGTTGATATACAGTTACAAAGCTGATAGTTTAAGTTCAATTTTTAAAATGTTCGATAGGATTGGTTTTTAACGTATTTTTAATTTGAGTTTCGCTGTTTGCCAACTTTCAATATGACGTCCTTGCCTGACTTTGACTGGGTAATTAGATATCTAGAGGATTGGGTTCTAAATCATTTTCTGTGTGTAAAATTCTGAAACATCTGGTTGCCTTTAATGGAAAACTTGCTTGCCGGAGATAATTTTTGACTTGCCCATTTTATGCCATATTCAATGAAATAAAAGATGAAGAGTGGATTTGTAGGGTTATTTGTTAAGTGATTTTAGCTGCACGACACAAATTTTGGACGATTTTTTGAACCCTGCCGTGTAGAGAGAAGCCTGAACACTTTTGAAAACGCGCCAAAGTTAGAAGCTGTTCACATGAGCCCGATAACCGGGATTCATCGAGGCCTGAAATGATTTTGTGTCATTGAAGGAAGCAAAAACTTCAAGCGGAAAACTTACCGCCTTTTCTTCAGCGTCATAAGTCATTTTAGTGGTAATATTCAAATCAGGCTAAACTATTTGTTTTAATTTTGAAGGTTTTGTTAATTTGCAATGTCTGTATAGAGAAATTGCTCAAATAAGTTTTTTGTTGTGAAGTATTTAATCTTTTCCATTATTTAAAATAATTTAACGCTTCGCTAAACCGGCTGCCGGGCTCATGTGAACAGCCCCTTAGCTCAAACCATAAACAAGACAAATTCCCTCATTTTGCTGATAAATCCCATGCAAGTAGTTGCATAACGCGGGATTCGTATTGCTTTTTCACAGACTAAAGGACGAGAAGAATCACTTCAAAGAGAGATGGAACTCCAGATGGAGAAGGAGAAAGTAAGATTTAAACCTTTATCGATAAGTTATATCTTCAAGTCAGTTTTTCGCTCCACAACATATCCACGCGAGCATAACAATATTTAAAGTACTAATGAAACCAATTTTTACCGCATTGTTTTACGATTGCATGGCAAGAGCATTTAAAATGACTTAACAACTACTTCAGTGGAATTATTTTGTTTCATTTCTTTATCGAGATATGTAACTTTAGTAAATTGCAAAAACATCGCTGACATCACAAGACATAATTAAGATTTGTAAAGTAGCAAATTACTAAAGTAAATGGCTACAAACATAGTAAATTACTGTCTACAATGTCTTGTTAAATATCTAACTTGGGTATCTATGAACATATTCATCTATTCATTTATTTTTTAAAGTGTTGTTCATGGGAAATTAAATTATTTAAAGATGCGAAAAATTGGTGGTCTTTAAAATTTTATCGCGCAATGTGATGTGACTGTGATGTTTTCGCATGATAAATATTGTTAAATATCCCAAGAAAGAAATAAAATAATCTATTCATGAAGAAATTAAGTCGTTTTAAATGTTCTGTCCAATACACTAAGAAAACTGCATGGTAAAATTTTGCTTCATAACGACTTTTCGTGATTATGAAAATATTTTTCATAATTTTGCTCTTTTTGTATCTTCGTGCTTTTCTGATGGAGGTTAGTAGTAACATTCGTTAGTCAGATTAGTATATTTGACTGCAATTTTCTCGTTGCTGCAATTTTATAATAGTAGGTTTTTTTTTGCAAAAAAGGAATATGCAGAAGGCCACTTGATTGAAATTTTTTATGCCACGCATATCTTCTGAAGCACGAGATAACCATAATGGCAGGCCAGTCAATTGCCATTTTCAACAAATAGGAATGATAAATTTTTCACCACGTGTTTTTTTTTCAAAGACCGAACGCAATCTCTCGATTCATACCGTTCGGGTTGGAAGGTTGAATTTCCGATTTTCAGCTAACAATCTCCTTAAAACTTGTACAACAGGTCTTTCTTTGGTCCGTTAGAGGCATGTAGAATGATAATCACTGACAAATACTGTTTTAAAAATAAGTGTCTGCTGTTGTGACCAGTTCACAGTTTGTAGCTTCACGCTTTTGTTTGTGGAAATTCATGACAGATTTCGCGACATTTTTTTTAAGTTCTGTTTGCCTTTTTTTAGATTCAACAAGAACTTGAAGAACAGCGAAAGATTGCTGTAAGTTTTCGCGAGATAATTCTGTTGATGTGTTGTGTGTAGAAACAAGCAAGCGACCTTCATTCAGCATGTTCAAAATTTGATTTGGCGGAAAAAGCCAATTTGGGTCACACAAATTTTCCACGTAGATTTGATTATTAATAGTGCATGATGGACGTTCCATGTCTAAACCATCAATAATTTTAAAAGTTTGGCAATGTTTTGTGAAGGTGTTTTATAAACTGTAAAGGAATTTAGTACCTTGATGCCGTTGAAAAGTAAACATAACCAAAAATATATTGAATAAAATAATGATGAGCTAATTTTCAAGACAAACATGCTCATTCAAACATATACTGTCTACAACTATACAGTAACAACATGTCTGCAGTTTAGAATTACCTGCAACTACATGTCTTCACCACTGACTAGAAAATATCAATGCAATTTTTTATTGCTCTAACAAGCTCGAATTATTTGAAAATCTCCAGATTAGGTTAGCTCAAAACTATATCTATGTTGTAACGCAACTGTAACCCAGGTTTCGTTACCGCAATTTTGGACAGCCTGCTATTCATACGTGTTTGTGAAGGTCGGAGACAGTTTTTTATATTTTCGTTTAAGGAGGAGACCAAAATCAAGCTTATGAAAGTCACAAACATCCTGTGTACTTCGAAATCAAACGAAAATGATGTAAAACAAGTAAGTTATATCAAGCGGTTTGCATTAAAAATGCCAAATGGCTAGTCGATTTTTGAAAATCTTGTATACAGTGAAACCTCTATTAAGTGGACATCCTGTATTGAGCGGACACTTCGTAAAGACCTAAATTTAATCTCAAATAGCAATTTTGTAGCAATGAAATCTCTATCAAGTAGACATCTCCATTAAGCAGTCACTTTCGGAGGCCATGCGTTTAATAAAAGTTTGAAAAACACCATGCTAATTGGCTGGCATCATTTTATGATGGTGGTGGGTTGTGGCCTGGAATTACAATAAAAGCCAAATTTTAATGCGGCCAATAGGAAATTCAGTCAGATACTCGATAATTCATCAAGAATTTTTCTTCACCACCACATGCATGTGGCGTTTGTTTATGAGCAAAGAAAAACTGTTTGAAGATTCTGTGTTAAAGACGCCGCAGGCGCTGCACACAAAAAAAAACTCAAAGTACTGCCAAGTCTCTGGCTCCATTTTACTAAAGTTGCAGCACTTTCAATACCAACAACATGAGCCAATTACATAATGGTATTTAACTAAGTATGGTTGGAGGTGGCAGTACTTTACATAAATACAGAGAACGGGAACCAATTACATAGCAGCATCAACTACGTATGGTAGAATACAAAGTCCCACACGAAATACCAAAGGCTTTGAAAAAACTTTTTATCGTGATCAAGATATACTAGCATCGGTCACTAAAATAACAGAATTTTGCGAAATTTCTGAACGGAATTCACTCTCGTGCATATCTGCGCACGAGCATGTCTATAAAATTCAGAATTTTGCTTTTTAAAATTTCGCCGATAACAGCACAAAACGTTCACCATTTCAGAGAAAATATACTCATATAGTTTTTCACTTTGATAATTTTCTCAGCGTAAGCAACGTCGTTGGACCGTTTGCCCGTCGGGCATACTTCATAAGCCGTTAATGACGATGAATTTTCCATTCGAAAGAAAGTTTGTCGAGCCATGTAGGAGACTGGAGCAGACTTTTGCATGTAGCCCTGATTTTAACATGGACAATCGTCGGAGATTGTTAGAGGAAATTCAAGAGAAGGAAGTGGAAGTAAATGCTGTCCCTGTAGCAATGAGGTTAGTTGATTGGCGTTTTTCCTGCTTTCTTAGCTCATCTGTTGTAAGACAGTTGGGGAACATTTGCAAGAATATACGTAGCTATGTTATATACGGGCATTTAGGCCTGTATGGGAAAATGTATTGAGGCTGAGAGACATATTTCCCTGTACGGCATGATCAAATAGTAATGTCATAATGTTTAATTCTCAAACTCGGAGCGAGCGAATTTTGAACGGTGCCATAAATAAAAAATCAACTTTCAACTAGCTTGCGATCGGTTTGTTGCTTTAGTGTGTTGCTGTTCTGGAATTCTTGGTTTTGCAGGATATGTTTGTCTATTATCGATTTAGTTCCTTTGCAAAGGTGGATCGTAATGTTTTACAATGTAATTGTAGAATACATAGGTCAAAACCTTAACGTTCAATCTTCATTAACATGCCAAAAAAATTTTAATTTTAAACTCGGGCTTACCTTTGGTAGCAGGGTAATTAGTCCCATTCATTCTACTTTTAGTGAATTAAAGCATAAATATTGCATGTTAGGAGTAAATAGTCTGTACGGAAAATAAATGAAAATGCGAAACGGCTATTTTTTATCCAGACGTTTTGTAAGAACACTTTGCATCTTCTCTTCATTGTTGTGTTACGACAACGCTAAGTTACTCAACGCATGATTGATTAAAATTCGTGGGCAGAAAATCAAGACATGTTTACAAAGTCAATGTTATTGCACACCAGCAACGTGGCAAAGTAAAATTTGAGAAGGTGAATTGCGAATGCGTGCACTGCAGACATGTTTGAAAGTCGTTTACCCACCTTGATGTTAATGCTCGTTGTTTAAACAGCTGTGTAACGTTTGCTAAGTTTGAATTGCTCATTAAAGTGTTTATGACATTAAATTTCGAAACAAACTTGCTTGATTGTAATGCTAAGAATATATAGAATGACATTGGTAACCTCTTTAGTAGAATTGACTTTACCTTTTTCTCGAGATATTGAACTTTATTCATTACGTAAATGACATCGTCACGAAATCAGAAACTCAGTAACAATTTTTGAAAGATCATCTATTTTCCACATTGTTAGAAAGTTTTATGCACAAATACAACAGCTTGCTGAGTAACGTGTTGATGAATATTTTTGTAATGTTGCCAAAGAGATATTGATATTTTAATGCTGACGGTGGAAAAAATTACTATTTACCAATACTAATTATGCAGCGGGTTGTTATAATGATCTCATATTCATAATGAAGAAAAGTTACATATCTCAAAAAAAAGTATTATCTCCATTAATATTATTGTACCGAAGATGTTATTGAGTTATTCTAAACAGAAAACACTGTAAAATGAGAAAACATTGTAAAATTTGGTATGATAAACACTTTAATATTTCTGGAGTACGAAACATGGGGATAGATGATTTCTTAGTGTGGCCATCTGTTAAAGGCTTCAATATCTCGTTTCGCCCTTTAAAAAAAAGATGAACCGCGAACGGGTTATAGAATGCGTGCATGCAGCTGTATTTATATATAGAATCAACAATAGCTTTCGGAAACGAAAACGCTTCCGACAGCATCTCTTCATCTACATCATTTGACATGAACTAATTTCACGACACTTCGCCAGCGAGCTTCTTTGCCCAACAAACATTTACATAGATCAAAACACGACTCATCAAAATACGCTGAACAAAAATATCTACGAAGGGGTGAAGCGTTGTCGAACAAAATCAACCTATTCTTTGCCTTTGAGAGTCTATTCTTCTTTAGGAAATATATACAAAGATCTTAATTTTCATTTTTCACAGAATTGGTGAAATTCGACTATTTTTATCCGCCAGGAGAAGGTTATTATTCTCGATGGAGATTTTACTATAAAATTCTACACGCCATGATAGAAGTGTGTTTTACTTATGACGTCACAAGTTAATAAAATGGCATTTTAAAAGTTCGCACAGCAAGTTTCAAAAATGACAACTTTTGACGATCGTGACTTTGGATAGAAAAGTTCAATTTTATTTTTGATTTCAAATATAAAGTGAGGCTACTTCTTTTTATTTGGCCAAAAAAGTTAGGGGGTCAAAACTCGATGCATAAGCACTTTAAACTGTTGGACAGTGACTTGCAAAATTAACTAGTCACCAACCAGTGATTCGAGATTTGACAAGAAGCCGGAGCCGGAGATGAAAAACCGTAGTTTGCACAGCCCTTCTGCCAGCAAAACGCAAATAAACATTATGTGAGCCACATTTTTACACAGTTTCATATTGAAATCTTTCTCAAATGCTCTATTTTTTGCTACATTTCCAAATCGAATCCCAAAAGTTTTCCCCCATTTTTTGTTTTGTTTACTAAAAAGTATCTTAAGTTTTATGCTTCATCTTGCACTCGTGATTCCAGTAAAAGTTGTGCCCATTCAACGCATTGATATGTTTTTGGTAGGCTTTTAGCTCTTAACAGTCAGAATTTTGGTGAGAGGGCTGTGTCGTAGGTGGATCTTTTAAACCAATTGCCATCATAGATGCATCCCAGTCTCCCATATAGATAACTAGATCCATTGCGCTTCTGGCATTGCCATGTTTAATTTGAAATCGTCAGCGATAAAAAAATTTGTTCAGACTCCACTCTCCGTGAGGGAGAAAATGGTGAGCTTTTGCAAGAGTACCACTACGACAACGAGTCGTAGTTTGTTGTCATAGCTCGCTAATGCCATCGTTTACCAACCGACCTAACCTTTGCCCTGTCTCATCATCGGTATTTCATTTCTTCCGAAGATGAAATTCAACTCGTTAGGACGAAAAGGAATGGGGACACTTCGATAAAAATATGACAGCTTTGTTGCCGTTGGAAACCGGTGTGCTTGCAACATGAAACGAGGTTTATTAACATCACTGACCTGTAAATACCTGGACATATCATCTCACTCAGTTTACTACATTTTGTAGCGTGTAGTATAGTCTTATGAAAATTTAGTTAATGTCGTTTTACAAAATACGGCGAGTTTTAGGTGAGATATTTTTAATATATCTTACGATTAGGTAAATGGTATGCAGGTCCGTGAATGCTTTTTTGACGTACCCTTTGTTTTTATAGCGCCATTTCTTGCTCTGTAATTGAAACGAAACGATCATCTGCCGAGGTATGGATTATTTTATTTTCGTGTGTGCTTCTTGTTTCTTAAAGTTGCTGGATCAAAATAAACTTTTTTTGCCTGAAGTGTAAAATCTACAAATATTTTGTTGTTTAATGAATTGACGATATTCGTGCTAAGCCAGCTTTAATTTCTTTTTGCGAGAGGTTTAAAAAAAGCTATCGAAACGATTCTAAGGCGGCTTTTCCTCCATTAATTTCAGATGACCCGAAATAATTTCGACTCTTTTGTCCCCCGTCACTGACATTCGCGGAATGTTAAACTCTTATGAAGTTTCAAAACTGTATTTTTTTTATTTGCGTTATAGAATGATGAAAAAGAAATCTCAAGTTTGCAAGATGAGGTGAAAAAATGCAAAGAGGAGAAAAGGAAACTGCTTAATGAAGTCGAACAACATGATGAAAAGATTAAATTGGTATGTTTATTGATAATTATTGGACGACGTTTTGCATGATATCAAGAATTGCTCAGACCCGAGGTTAATGTTTTCTGTTGAAGCAAAGTTCTTGATATCATGCAAAAGCAGAATTCAAGAATTATTGTATCATACAATGATAAATGCAGAAGCCTTCAAGCTATTTTTGTACGAAAACCACAATGTTTTCGACATGAAATAATCTTAGCGTTTTGCTTTCATTTCCTCTCCCCCCCGTCAAAACTAGTTGCAAATAAAGGAAATTGGTAGTTTGGATAAAGATGTTGTTAAGGAAGACGTGGAAGATTTGCTGAAGAAAAGTGACATTCGCTGTGAAGTAACTGAAAGAAAAATGGGCGAAGAAATTGAAGTCTTAAAAGACAGTCTTGCAGCTGTTATTTCGGAAAAGGAAAATATGGTAATTGAAAATAAAAAACTTTCAATCGAAATTGAATCGTGTAAATCGGAGATGCGTCTGTTGAAGGAAACGTTAGCGTCAAGTGAGTGCATGTTGAAAGACAGCGAAGCTCGTGCGCTTAAACTCGAAGCAGAATGCGAGAAGAAATTGAAAGAAAAGGAAAATTTAAGCAGCGATTTATCTGAAATGACCACGGAGCTTATTCAAAAGCAATCCGACATCGAAGATCTTATATCTAGTATATCTAGTGGGGTAAGACTTGAGGAAGATTTACTTAAAACTACTATAAACTATGAGCAGACCACAGCAGTGCTGAAGGAAACAATGAAAACTTTACAAGATGCGCAACTAACTTTAGAAGAGATGACCAAAGCACTTCAAAGATTAGAAGGAATTTTAAAAACTGCAGATAGTTGTTCAGACGAGAAGGAGACGTTTCTGTTAAATTTGAAAGAAAAGGATGCGCTCATAGACGAGAAATCATCTTTAATTATAAAACAGACTGCGGAGTTAGAAACGTTGGTGGAATCAAAAAAGGAGTTGATCAAAAAACATGAACTCAGCGAACAACGGTTGAAAGAAGAGTTTGACAATCAGATCGAATTCATTCGCGAAGCAGTGAACGAGAAAGAAAAAGAGTTGAGTCGTGTTCAGAGGGATGAAGTGAACGCGCTTTTGTTGAAATTACAAGGCAAACAAGAGGAAGACGAGAGTAACGAGAGAGAAAGAATGCGTCTGAACAAATTGATCGAAGAAAACACGTCGCAAATTTGCGAACTTAAAGACTGTGTTGCAGAGAAGACCCAAAAGCACGAGGATATTATAAATGAAAATGTGAAGTTGAATGAACGAATCACGCAAATGGAGTCGGTGATGGAAAGTTTGAACGACGATTTGAAGGTAAAAGAGTCACGTATAGTTGTTTTGGAATCAAAATTGAAGACGGAAATTGGCAGTGCTGGTGAGTCTGATGCGACGGACGAGAAAGATACACTCGTGGCGGAAAAGGATGAGCTTCAGATAGAGTTGCTTCGTGTACAAAACGAATTAGTTTGCGTAAGGGAGGAGTTGCGTTCGAAAAATGAAGATGTTATCGAAAGCATGAATAGCAAACATAGAATTGAAGTTGATGAGCTGAATAATCTGATTTGTGTCTTGAAAAAAGATTTGGAAAGCATAACCTTGCAGAAGGGTGATGTCGAGAAAGAACTGGTGTTGAGTCGTCAAAAAAAGGAGCTGTTGAACGAAATTAATGAACGAGAAACTTCTGATGCTGTTGATGAAAATGAGATGAAAAATGATGGCTTGGAGACTCAGTCAAAAGAGGTACGGTCGCGGTTTCAGTTTAGCTTTTTTTTTGCCTGTTCTGATTACTTTTGCTTGCAAACATTAGCAAGAATACTTAAAACAAAAGACCACTCACAGACAGTATGTACCCCCGTCGAAGATTGCTATTACCTAGGTATTTGATAGTAATTAGCACGACCTCCCGGTATGAAGTAATAACCCATGAACTTTTTTTACCATAATTTCGTAAAAGCACCATCGCTAATGTGCATTTACAGTCAAACCGGATGTTTTGTTCCAATGAACAATGCAACATACCTGTCAATTGAGCAATATTCATTGGCTTATTCCAAACGCAATTGCAATTTGAAGTTTTTCCCGTGCTGTACTGTTGATACTTCTCATCATGTAATTCACACAAAACAATTAAACAATTTTTTTACCAAATCGAGAACGTGTTGTTGATTTATCGGGGTAAGGCGAAAAATTCAAAAGCATTGCTTCCTAATTGGGAATATGAAACAGAACAGCCTCGAAAATTATAAAAAATGCAGCTTCGAGCTCGATTCTTTTGAATGCTTCCGCCCAACAATCGTACGCATTTCGAAATGCCTCCTAGATGACCAGATTGTCGTTAGGAGAAACAGCGATGAACAAAACAAGATTTATGTCTTTGTATGCAACTCTTATTTTTGCTTTCAGTAAATTTTCAATGTACGGAATCGCTTCTTTTATCTTACATATAAATTCATGAAACAATGCAAACGGTTTCTCGGTAAAAAAAAAGCATAGCGTCCGTTTAATTACGGTAACACTATCTGAAACATGTTTTCCATTATTTCTACAAGAGAATGTTTAGCTACTTCAGCGCAAGAAAGGTGCAATTCGCTAGAGCTAGTTGCGTTTGGAATCAGCCAATCAGCTAAATTGACCAGTATGTTACAATGTTCAGGGGAACACAACATTCGGTTTGATTGTAATGTAAACGACGAGTTTTTTGAAAACAGACATGTTTCGACATCTCATGATGCCATGTTCAGTGTGAGTGAATAATTACATAAATAATACAAAGTTTATATAAAAGTAATATGATACAGTGACATAAATATGGATAAATTATGACAATAATAAGGAAATGAGATGAATTAATGGGGAGCGTGTCACAAATTAAATATTGTGTTGAATGTAAAAACTTGAACATTGAGGTCATGGTTAGTCTTGTTAATGTGGAGTGCTTCTTCGATTTTAAGGGAAAATGAGGTGTCTGCGGTGTCGATAATTATGAAGCAAGATGGTTAAAAGTTGGTTTTATGAAGGAGATTTAGGAAGGTAACGGTAGATATGAGAGTTTTTGCCTGTTGTGGTATGTTCCCTGATTCTGGTGGATAAATGGCACATTTTGAAATCTCATTCATGGAAAACCAACTATTCACCCTCCTGCTTCAATATCATCCACACTGCAGACACCTCTTTCTCCCTGAGAATCAAAGAAGCACTCCACATTAACAAAACTAACCCTGACCTCAATGTTCAAGTTTTTAGACTCAACACAATATTTAGTTTGTAACACGCTCCCCATTGATTTATCTCATTTCCTTATTATTGTTATAAGTTATCCATGTTTATATATTTATATTACTGTATCGTTTTACATTGGTATAAACTTCCTATTATTTATGTAATTCTTCACTCATACTAAAGATGGCATCATGACGTGTCGAAACATGTCTATTTTCAAAACCTTGGCATTTACATTAAATGAACCTTTTTTCCACCATTTTACTAGTTCAGTTTATCTTGTTAGCCTGTCTCATTTCCTCGTAAATGAAGGGAACCATCGAATTCACTTGTAAAAAAACAGAATTGTCAAACCAGAGTACCTTTTCTACGAAATCATCCAGAATCCGTCTCTGAGATGCGTGGTCTGAACCACAAAAATAGTGAGGCGTCAAAACGTTTTTGAGATCATTGTAATAATTTTCACATTTCTATCTGTTTCTTATCATTTACTTATTTCATTTCAATTCACCGTCACTTACACAGGTTTCATGTCCAATGTGCCGCGCGCTTGATAAGGCTGGGACCGAGCGATGGGATAGTGAAATATTCAAAGCGATACTCGTCGATTTCAAAGAAGAGATGGGAACAGACGTTGTTGCAAAGGTTTGTGACCCATGTTATTGCATGTTAACCGTTGTTTTCCACATTTGTTCTTTGCCACGAGTCTTTTTCTTGTGCCTAATTTGTTTTACTTATTAAAATACGATGGTAGTACCATTGTTGCAACAATTTCTATTTCTTCAGTAAGACGAATTGACAACGTATTTACCTATTTAAAATTCAACTATCTAAATTCAACAGTCGTATTACAAGTAGTACGACTTTACACGGCCTCTGTGCTGGTAGTATCGCTAACAATCCCGAATTTTAAGCTTGAAATAATCAAAATCACCACAAAGTATTCACAAAAATGTTTAATTGACGCTATCGTTGACAGTGTGTGAAGCACTGTCTAAATTAATTCTGCAAACATAGTAAGACCTTGGTATAATTTCGTAAAAGCACTATTGCTAATTTACATTTAATATAAACGACAAGTTTTTTGAAAATAGACATGTTTCGACATCTCATGATGCCATCTTCAGCATGAGTGAAATAATAAGTGACGCAAGGTTTGTATAAAAGTAATATGATAAATAAATTACAACAATAAAAAGGAAATAAAATAAATTAATGGGGAGCGTCCGAGCGTATTATGAACAAAATATTGTATTGAATTTAAAAAGTTGAACATTGAGGTCAGGGTTAGTTTTGTCAATGTGGAGTGCTTCTTTGATTTTAAGGGTGAATGAGGTGTCGGCAGTGTCGATGATTTTGAAGCAAGATAGTAAATAGTTGGTGGCAAAATGAGGCTATGTTTGTTGTCGAGATATCGTTTTACGGTTCTGTTAATAAAGTGAAGTGGGAAAGAGTTTCGTAAAAGAGTGGATGTGATGTTTTTTATGTCTCGTTGAAAGCCATTGTTCGTATTATTAAGTTTGTATGCTCTGTCGATTAGTGTGCGTATAAGCCCGGTTTTGTATGAAAGTGGTGTGAATGAGAAAGGTTTTCGATTTTGAATGATTTGAAAATTAGTCGAATGTCAATATCTGTGCAGAAGCGTTTCATAATGTTTGTAAGTCTGCGTTGTGTATGTCGTGGGTAATGTCCAACCTTTGGTTGGTATTCAACCCATTGTCATTGCCAAAGCAACATAAAGGCATGCAATACGTATTTGCACTAAATTTATATGATTTAGAACAAGTTGACATCATTCTAAAATTTTGTATGATCTCCTTTTGCTTTTGAAACTGCTATAACTCTGTTAGTCAAAGATTGATTGAATTTCATTTATTCCTCTTTGATACAGGCACTTAGATTTCTCATTTTTTCAACGTCCAACATACACCCGCTGCATGCTTGTTTCTGTATTCTTCAAATTTCATATCATTCTAACGTGGATAAAAAGTCTTAGTCCAATCAATATTTCGTTTGAGTTTACAATAAATAATGTTTTATGAGTTGCGAAAATGCATAAATTTAAGCGATTTGAATATTCACATTGCATTTTGGTAATGACGCTCACATTCCGTCTAGTCATTTGCCGTACGATGTTAAAGTATCCCGCAGCAAACCAGATTTCTTCTTGCACACGTTCCGGTGGAACAGATGATAAAAAGAGAAAAATGAAGAAATAAAAGGTCAATTATTACATGGCAAGCGTCACTTCCGGCAAAAGCATGCTTTGATTGGCTCAGAAACATTTTTGCCGGTTTATTATTTTCCCGTAATCGAGCACTGTCCAAAACGCGTAATTTTACAGTCAAATGTAAACAAACTTCGTAATGCAAACTGCAAAACGCAAAATAAACGAAACAAAGAATCATTTACGAATGTGATTCGAAGGAAAAACACTTGGAAAACAGTTTAACTATCCAGACGATATAATTTGAAACGATTCATTTTTAATGGACAAAAATTAGAAAAGTGAAAGCCAACCGGTAAGAAGCAGCAAGGACGAGAAAGAAAGCAAGCTTCATTTCAGGTCAAATAATGCCATATAATAAACCTTTTAATAACCTCGCTTTTTCAGTCTTAACTGAGAAATATGGGACTTCTGTCTTTTTGTACAAACCGCTCGGTCTGTGCGGAAAAACTTCGGTCCAATATTTCTCCGTAAAGACCTCGCGCTCCGTTATTAAGGGCTTAATAATTGCTCTGAGTAATGAAGGTTGGACACAGCGCATATAATTGCGAAGAAGACCAAGATGTCGAAGGGTGCTGTGCAACAAAACGCAGGTTCCGGGAATCAGGATCTTCTTTTACCAAACAACATCTGGGAGACTGGGGGCTACCTTTTTGAAAGAGGAACTGTTAAGGAATTCTTTTTGAATACAGATATGGTTGGGGTTATTCAGATTGCATGACATCGAAAAAAATATGTAAATTAAAACCATTGAAAAGAACAGATTTACGTGCAGCTATTTTAGGTGTATGTCCCGGTAGGTGTAGTATGTACTCATAATTTCCTTAAGACCCACAAGCTTAGTTCCTAATGAATGGAGTGCTGTGAAGTTTGCCCGAAGCAATCAGTATAAATACATGTAATTAATTAGAGAGTTTTTGAGTGAGAGTTGTGAGTATGTCCAATAAAATTGTTGAAAGATACAGTCTCCAGAGTGTTATTGAACCAGCAACTGGAAAGCGGAAAGGAGTTTTCCAACAGGAACAATACATTGAGATCTCATCTTTACGCTGCAGAAATTCTACTAACATCCGGTCAACAGTGCATACAACACGAGAGAAATCAATGGCCGTTTTTATGCTTAAGACAGTTAATATCATGCGTCTTAAGACGGACGACGTAAGACGGATTTCTTTGGTGCGCGGCTTAAACTTGTCGGAACGATAAAAACGGTCACAAGACGAGTCGAACCTTCTTCATTCTTGACAGTTGACATAACTCGACATATCATCTGTCCTGACGTCTATTAACAGTTTTAAGCATAAAAACGGCCAATGAGTATATTAACATCTAAAAGGAGACAATGGAAGAACATTGTCTATATCTCGGCTTTTACCTCGGTAAACACGAGTGGATACATACATCTGACATGCTTATATTTGTTTATTCAGGATAAGCTTGTGGAGGAGTTAAGACATGCGTTGATCGCTGATCAAGATGTATTGGAGCAAAAGCAGTTCGTTTTGGACGAGAAGGAGATAGAAATACTCGCAAAGGACGAAGCTATTGCTCGACTGGAAACGGAAAATGCTGACTTGATCAAAAAATATGAATTAATCCTAGCTGATTCCAATGATCAAATAACCTGTTTTAAACAAAAAGGTATGACCCGCCGTGATTGTATGTCATAGTTTGTACAAAACTTGAATGTCGTTGAATTTAAGTCGAAATTTAATTTCGCCTTTCCACTTTTACAAAAAATATAGTGATTGACATAGTGATTGGCATTAGAAACCTGAAGGAAAAGCATGGTAGAGAAAGCTATGTAAAAGTATCTTATGTGCAACGTAATTATCATTTTCCTTGCGGTAACAACATAATAAGGCATGCGCACAGCGAAGTCCATGTGAATTTTTCATTTTGCATAGTTTTTCATAAGTCGACTGCATTGACTTTCTTTAAGCGTCAAAGATCAAACGTCCTTTTATGTTTCTTTGAACTTTAGTCAGTGATGAAAAACGTCGTCTTTCGTTATCTGATGTCATCGACTTTGAAAAAGTGATATGTGAAAATGCACATTTGCGTGCCAGTGAAGAGAAATTGACAAAAGAGATTGCTCTACTTGAACAGAAACGCCGAGAAAATGAAAAACTGAACTGCGAAAATCTAAAACTGAACAACGAAAATATAAAACTGAACAACGAAAATCAAAACTGAACACTGGTTTAAAGGAATTCGAAGGTAAGTCTCTGTTTTATTTTTCCCAACTTTCATATGTTTGAAGCTCCATCAGCGGTTATTTATCTCATTAGTCAAAATACAGTCCTTCAAGCGTTAGAATTACGTCATCAAAGCATTCAAATTACGTAACTAGAAACGTAAATTACTGAACGTTCTTGAGTTGAAAAAAATTAATTCGATTAATTTTGTGTTCATCATGCAGACGTGATACAAGATTTGAAGATGAAATGCGCAGTTTTGAAGACGAGACCAAAGAACTTAAAATGCAGTTAAAAAAATCTGCCACTGCTGTTGACGACTCGGTGGCGAAATGTCTTCAACTGCAACGAGATAGGAGGAAGAGCTTGAAGAAAAATACCGTCTGCAAATTGACGAAGGAAATGCAAGAATCGCCGAGCTGAATAATGAAGTTGTCAAACAGTCTAAGATAATTTCCAAACTGAAGAAAGAAAATTACAAACTAAATATGTGTTTAAGAGAATGCGAAGGTATAATCCAAAAACATATTGTGTTTCAGCATATTGTAGGACAACGTCAAGAGTTTAAGCTTTAATTTTATTTTGTCTACGAAAGAGGCACGGAATGTTCACCAAAAAAACAGTACTTGCTGTTTTGTTTTTATTCTTTGCATTCTTTTGCAATTCTTGAATTTCAAACGATTGCAATGTGGAAAGCCTTGTTTACTTACAATTTGCACCATGTCTTTTTAATCAAAAAGAAGTATGTTTGGCTTTCACAGCTCTTCAGCCAAACAGGAAACAGTACTCACAGTGCAATTAGAGATTTTCAGCAGTGCAATTACAAATTTTAACAGCGCAATTGCAGATAAACTGCACTGCCATCATCCAATCACAGTCGAGAAATATCTCAAAGTATATTATTATACGAGAATTTATCCCTGGACAAATGAAGTTCTTGAAAATAAACCTACTTGAGGCGGTTGACGTATTTGAACAAAAAGAAAAGGAAAAAACCGGTTTTCCAACGTCGAAGGAAACAAAATACAACTGTTTGCCTGAATTCCTTCGATTTTGCGTAAAAGAAATAGATTACACTTAACCATTGTCTGTTCAGACATAGATACACGTGTTTTGAAATTTTGCTACTTGCGGTGCAATAATTATTTCGTTCACAAGGGTTTTTCGCTTCCTTTTACTGATGGTACAAATGATGCAACGAGCAACTCATAAAAATATTGGTGTTGCCAGTTTTCGAAATAAATTACAATGTATTTCCATTTCCAAATTCGTTAGAGGCAGTTTAATTTGTAAAATTTTATTTAAGAAATAAAATGTGTTTACTAGGTTTGCACAGGCTCATTCAAACCGAGGCGACCTTTGGGAGAACACCAGAGCAGATTAGCGCAAGGTTGCACCTACTCGAGAGTTCTCACAATGTCTCCGAGGTTAGCATAAGCCAGTGCAAACACGAAAAATTTCTTTCGTGTCTTTTATGAAATAGCAATAATGCAAGATTAACAAATTTAAAAGAAATGTTTAATATTTCGTCTAATATGTATTCATGGTCGATTTGGAAATTCTCTTTGCTTGATTGATTTGATGGTTGAGCTCAAATCGGTTTGCACAGGCTAATGAAAAGTGTAAACACGGCTATAGACCAATCGCCGCACGCGTTTTATTGTTTTTATTCATAATCTTTAAAAACTCATAACGATTTGTTTTGTTCAGAAGGTTTATCCAATTCAAAATTGACCAGCTATAATTTAATTTAACTTACACTAGCTCCATCACTAGATGTTACGCATGTTTCAAACGAAGACTTATAAACGAGATTAAATGAATTTCATGAAAGACTTTCACGAAACTCGTTCATTTGTTATGCGGGCTATAAACTCTGTTAATGATGTGACTAATTTTTAGACGAATTACAAGATTTGAAGTTTGAGTTCCGTGATCTACAAGATGAACACGAAGAACTTAAGACTTCGCTTGATAACACAGACGGCAATCCTGCAACTACGATAGTCGATGTAGATAAAACCAGTGAGATTGAAATACTGCGCGCGAAAATCGACGCTTTGGAAAGCGATGTGGAACGTTATCGCCGTGCAATCGGAGAGCTCCAGAAAACTAACAAATCGTTTCAAGAAAGGGAGTTGGAGTTGCTGAACGCCGATAGAGAAAAGACGATGCATCTTGACATCGCCGTGAAAAAGATACGTGCTTTGGAAAAAGACCTTGGTATGTTTGCCAGACAGAGCAGCGAGCTCAAAGCTGAGATAAGGGCTCTAAAAAATCGCCATCACGAATCTACTTTTGATTTAAGGCATGGTGAACCAGCCAGGTAAGTTATCGCACATTTATTCATACCGTTTTTCCTCTATTTAGCTCCCGGGATTTTTTTACTTCCCATAAAGTGGGAGATAATTTGAGGATGAGGCTTTAACGAGGGGGGGGTACATAAATTTTTAGAAAAGTTGCCAATGAATACTATTATACTCAACAATTGCTTGAATTTAAAAAGATTTTTTACATTAGTAAACTCCAATTTATAAACGCTGGTATCAATGAATAGAGCTTAATTAGTCTGTTATAAATTCATTTAGATGATTTTATCAATTTCCCGGTGATTGTTTAATTTACTAAAGAGGGAGATAAATGAAGACATCACTTCTTTTTTCTACCTTTTAAGGCCTGTTCATATGAGACGGGTCGTTTGAGTTCTATTAAATTACCGGTTGCGGAAAAGGGTCTGGAACCTGTTGTCAAAAAAAATGTGGATGCTACAAGGAAATTTTGATAAAAAAATTCGATTTGAGTTTTTTCCTTCCCTCCTCATTTATAATGCATTTCCAAGCGTGTAATAGATTGACGACTTGCCTTGTTTACGTTTTGCTGGCATGAAGACTTGGTCAAGGGAGTGCTTTTAGACAACACCAGCCAACTATTGTCAACCTGTCTTGGGATAAATCTACCTGTCAGCTAGTGCTGTGCACCGGAGTTAGGCCGGAGCTCCGGCTATTTTTGCCTTCTACAGCCAGATTTTTTTCTTCTCCGGCAAACTCCGGCAGCAATCGTTTGTGCTGCAAAACAGTAGCGGATCTAGGGGTAGTTACAGCGAGCAGCAGCAAGCAAAATAAATTGAAGCTGCTTAATTTTAAATTCAAAGTACTTTCAGAAAAGCACTATTGGTTTTGAATTTCTAAAGAATATACATTCACCAATTGACTTGTCTCTGAAGGGCTTGGAATTATAAATATATTCCGAAATGTGCAGCAGTAATTTATTTTGACTAACCCTAGATCCGCCACTGCTAGAAAATACTGTAAAACTTTGGTAAACATGTCTGATCAAAACATTTTTGTATCAACAAACGATAACTATCGGCTAAAATAAAAAAACATGCATGAAAATAAAACATTTCATACATAACACAACATGACGCTAGATTGCGTTCACACATGCTAATTTATGAATTAAAGTCGGAGAGCGGAAATTTAACTTTACATTTTAAATTTATCTAATAATATACCTTCAAGTGTTAATGCAATGAATTTTGACCCCTTTTTTCTCTTTAACTAAAAATCCACACTATTAGAATCAATTTGACATATAAATAAGCATTTCTGTTGAGTAGAAGTTAGTTAATTTTACCGCTGAATACGCACCTAATGTGCAAACTTTTCAAGTGGCCATGTTAGTAAGTTATGACGTCATAAGTGAAACACGTTTTGTTTACCAACTATAGATTTATATAGCCGACGCCACATTCTTCTTCGTTTTTCTTTCTTTTTATGCTTGAAAAATGATTGCTTCTCAATTATTTTTTACAAAATGCTAAAATAACTTTTAGAAACAGATGGCTAGTAATATAATCTTTTATAAATGATATTTTGTCGAAGACATTCTCCGTTGTGGAAGCAGTCTAGATTTAAAATATCCTTGACTTGCAACCATTCTCTTGAGATTTGTCAAACAATGTTGCTCGCACACGCCCGCTGGTGCCAACAATAACTCTGATAAAATATTCTTTTGTATCAGACCACTAACATGGCTGAATTGCAAGTCAAGAAGCGCATGATGATTCTTTACCCATGCGATTTATTTTGGTCTTTTTTCTTGTTAATCTTACGATTCTTATGGGAACTGCTTAAAGGAAAATCGCATTGAACTCGATCTTGTTTGAGTTTTTGGGCTTTGTTGGGATGCTTTTAATAGTTTCACAGAAATAGCACATAAGTGATCCAATGTCATTAGAGAGCAGAAACTAGAAAAATACTGAACTACACACATAATGTAGAAGATGGAGATTTCACTAATACAATGTGAACAGGTGTAAAAAATACAGTGCCATTATTAAAAGATAATGATGACTGTTCTTACAAACTATGTACCTCTCAACTCGATCCTGATAAATAAATCAGGCTCTTGAAGTTATTACTAAGCTAGAATATATGTAAGATGTAGAATTTATCTAATAGCTGTAGCCTGCATAAAGCTCATTCCATAGTTCTTGTTTTGATAGTAATATATTTGTAAAATAGAAGTTACCAATAGTACTGTTTAAATTTTTAATGTCAATTATTTATTTGTACAAACCCCTAGATCTATACTAAATCACCACATAACCAAATACTAATCAGTAACCAAAATTAATCTGAAGAGAGTGTATAAGTAATATTTATTCTACATTCTAGTTTTCTACAACAAAAACAGCTCTACTACATAAATAATATATAACAACTTAGATATGCTTAAAGTAGTTTGATTTAGTTTGTGTGCTACGCACTTCAAATATTAATGATTACAATGTTTGTTTTGATATCAAACAAAGTTACAGAGAAACTCATTACCCAGAATATTCCTCAAAACGTTTTCATGGGCAATGTATCAAAAACTGTCAGACTTTTTTTATCCATGCATACAATATTTCATAGTTCATACTGATCTCTCATGGTAGCTAAAATTTAAAATGATGCTTTGATTATATTCAACCAGCACATATTTTGTTAAAGGACTTCATTTTTGACTTCTCTGCCGCAATAATAATCTTGTTATTAAAATACTTGTGAATTCAAGTCCAACCCGTCGTAGTCCAGCTAAATCAATTTCCTGTTTTCGCTAATCGACCTTCCGCCAAAATGACTGGGAATCAAATATTTATTCTTTTCGCCCAGCCATGATCAAAAACACGACTCATCAACATACGGAACAAAAATATCCCATTACGAAGTGTTGTAACAAAATCAACCTATTCTTTGCCTTTGAGAGTTATTCTTCATATATACAAAGATCTTAATTTTCATTTTCACAGAATGGTGAAATCGACTTTATCCGCCAGGAGAAGGTTATTATTCTCGATGGAGATTTTACTATATATTCCATACCATAGAAGTGTGACTAGACGCACAAGTTATAAAACTTATTTTAAGTTTCACAGCAAGTTTCAAAAATGACAACGACGATCGCATTGGATAGAAAGTTCAATTTTATTTTTGATTTCAAATATAAAGTGAGGCTACTTTTTATTTGGCCAAAAGTTAGGGTCAAACTCGATGCATAAGCACTTTAAACTGTTGAACAGTGACTTGCAAAATTAACTAGTCACCAACCAGTGATTCGAGATTCGAGAGTTCAGATGAGGCCGGAGCCGGAGATGAAAACCGTAGGTTTGCACAGCCCTTCTGCCGCAAAACGCAAATAAACATTAGCATGAAAGCCACATTTTTACACAGTTTCAAATCTTTCTCAAATGCTCTATTTTTGCTTATTTCCAAATCGAATCCCCAAAGTTTCCCCATTTTTTCTAGTTCATCCAACGGTGAGCCCGTGGTGTTTGCATTGCTGTATTTTCACTCAAGCGCCGACTGGAAAGAATGAATGCTGAAAAGAAAAGATCGAGGCTGAATTGGCCAACGCACAAAAGAAAGTGAGAGTTTGACGAATGAGAATGCCAATGTGAAGTAAAATGAATACACGTTTTAAATGTTTTACTGTTAGTTACGATGAATGATAATATCGAATGATTTATTGATATCAGTTTTGCAAAATACTTTTTTCAATTTTTCATGCCATTACACGTTTTTATTTGTACGTGAAATAGCAATGTACAGCATAAGCTCCGTGGATTCACCGTTGGGATTTGTCTAAAACTGATTTTACGCCTGTATGTTTTATTCCCACGAAAAGTTGATTTCAATGGAAAATTGATGCGACAAAACATGCATGTACGAATCATGACTCTCTCCTATCGATCTAGCTAATCCAGCTGAGTACCGGAGTATACAGTTTCACGCTGCGTTTTAACTTAATTTTAATCAGAGTCTCGTTCACTGTTCATGCTGGTCTCACCTTGACTCGGTAGTTAGACATGAGGTTTTACGACATCATCATTTTAGTCCGTACGAAAATTGTTTCTCTTATGTTGCCAAGAAATACATACCGCTTTTCAACACGGCAGATTTGTAGAGCGTTCATTTCTTTGTTTTGGATACAGGTCACATGACCACACGGATTATGTCATGTTTTGTGTTCCGTTACAAAACTTCCAGTTAATTTTATGCCTTGCGCCAAGGTCGTTGTCAGAATTGTGACATATAGAGTCAAAACTTTGATAAAGTATCCGTACTAAAAGCTGGAATAAATCTCTTTCACCTTTCATCTCTCCCTTGCAAAGTTTGATACCGTTCATAAGCCAGTTACCCAAGACTACTTCCAATTTTTGGTGTTATGTTAATTATATTTATCACTGACCCATATCTTTGTGCGATTAAAAATTGTTTGTCGGACACAACAAAGTTTTCAATTTGTCTTACCTTCATTCAGGAAAAAGAATCACGAGATCGAGTGTAAACTTTTGAAAGTTATGATGGCTGAAAATATCCAAAAGCATGAAACTGTTGATGTAAAAGCTAAACATGAGTCGAGTATTGACGTTGCGACGGATAATGGACAGCAACCCGGCTTCGGGCAAATGAAGCGTAAAAAAAGCGAGAAAGATTATTTTATTGTAGCCAGTCAAACGTCAACAAAGTCGCGTGAAATGAATTCTGATAACTTCAAACAACAAAAATGGAATGAAAATGAAAATTCGTTACAAGGAAAGCCGTTTCTCTATCCGGGGGAAAAATCTGCTTTCCGTCCAACCGAATCGTTTTTGAAGGCGGGATCAAAATTAGCCGGGCCCCTTCCCAGTCGAATGAAAACAAACAATAAAATGATCGCGTTGGAGCCACGGTTAGACCGCAATAGATCAGATCGGATACAGGCTATCGCAAAAGACAGATCAGCCTTGCGATCCAGCAACCCCGTTTTTAGACCAGCACGAGGGTTTGGTTCACAAGAAAAGAGAGGTCCGAATTTTCCAAAGCACGACCCCAATAACTGCACACCACAGTAATTCGGTTTGAAGAAGACGATAAGTGCGTAGAAATTTAGAGTATGTGTTATGTTGAGCATCCTGTAGCATTTTTAGTAACGCTCGATTTTTATATTTTACTTAGATAGATAGATAGATAGATAGATAGATGATTTATTTCTTAAAAACTGGCACCCATATTGCTGAAATGATTAAGATTACGAAAATAAGATTACATATAATACATACATAGATAAATTAACTAAATTACATCTTCAATGAGTTAAAAGTTATAAAACTATTTCTAAAACGTTTGGTATTAAAGTTAGTATTGAATGAAGATTGAGTCCTAAGTTCCATAGTTGAACGTTCTAAACGAGGAGGCAAAGGTCATGAAGCTTATGTGAGGAATCTGCTAATATCTTCTGAAATAACGCTGTTGTTATATCATTCCTCCTTTCGCTAAGCGTTGTAAATTAGTAAACTGCATGAGCGTTTTCATATTCTGATGAGGCAGGATTATTTTAATGCTCGCTTTGGACTGACTCTGGTTATCTGACAGATACAATGTCAGACTATTGTGGAACACTGGGCAAGCATACCCAAGACAGGTCTTATACACGTTTTGTAAAATTGGAGCAATTCCTTGACTTCATATTTGCTCGTTTTAGTTGAATAAGATAATAGAGGTGCGTTCTACGCATTTTTCCTGTTAATTTCATTTACGTGGATGTTCCACTTGGGTTACTGGCTATAAATCCATTGAGTTCTATAATAACTGGAGCGGCTATCTTTACTGGGGCGAGGTCGCCAAAAATGGCGGCCAACGGACGTATTTCCGCTGAAATGATCGTTTGCAGAAAAATAATATTCTAGACCTCCTGGTGTCTATAGTAAATTATAAAGAATTTTAAAACAACACGATATCACAGAATATGGATATCGTTAGTTCCATATTCTGTGACGATTCTTTTGGCATTTCTTTTATAATGCCAACACTTCAATCGTTCAATTGTTGGATGTCGTAGTTTCCATAAAAGGAACATATCGCTTCTCACAGGTGAGGTAGTTGTTTGTTTGTTAGTCCGTCAACGATTGAAAAGCAATTATACATGCACTGAAATGCCATAAAATACATATTAAAGATCGTATTTTAAGACTGACTTGAAACGCAAAATATACTGATGTTTTCCTGTTTTGTCTATAAAATTCTGCATACTTTTCTGTCATTTGTTAATGCATGAAATCGTAAATTTACCTATCTATTTGCAAAATAGTTTCCCTAAGAAAAGACCCTGCACACATTTTGCTATGTGAAAGTATCAAAAGAAATGATCAGCCCAACAGTACCCATATTGGAGCAGAGCTTGTTATGTTCTATTTGGCTGACAAATGCGGTGAAAGACCAAGGAGTAAAGATGACTGGAAGATGTTATTGACCAGGCAGAGTCTTAAAAAAAAATGATAATGCTGTAAAGATAATTGATTTATTGTCTGCCTTATCCAGAGTTATTTAATTTGATCATGGTCAAATTCTATGGATGGAGACAATGGATTCACTAATGATGCCTTTGAATGCTGAAGTAAAGTTCATGAACCAAAAAAGATGGCAAGAAGGTTGTGTGTGTTTTGATGCTTAATTAAATGTCAATTCACAACATATAAAATGGAAAGGCTATAAAGTTTGTGTCTAAGTAAAGATTTGTACTGAGATTGATGATGACTCGATGCAGATGTGAAGCATCAAACTGTATAAGCCATTGGGTTTTTATATAACTTAATGTTTAAATCATGTCATATCTTTATCAAAATATTTTAGTTATGTTGTTTGAATGTTACTAATACCTAATGCACTATACTGAAGCATTAAAGATTCAGTGATGAAACCTTTAAAGTTACTGTATTGTATATTTCTTATATTTCTTATATTTCTTTAAGAAACAGTTTGAGCTTATTTACCTATTAGAGTACAGAATGGAGATTTATCATATGCATCATTGCTGCTTTTTAAATAAATTTTTTTTCACTTTTCAAAGCTTTCTACAAATATTTAGCTTCTTATTTCTTTTCATGAGATTGATGATATAGAGGTAATATAATCCAATAACTTTATAATTTCTAGAAAGCATCATGTAAGGAAGAAAACACCAAATGTGGATACTCAGGAGAACAAAATGCACTACCAACTGCTTATGAAATTTTATTATTGAAGGAAAACTGTGTTAATCATTCAAATTGTGCAATTTATATTGAAAATATAGGAAAACAAAAACAAAGTGAAAAGAAGGTAGAAGTATTAAAACTAAAATGAATTATAAACACCATTGGAAGCATAAGTGTTTGATGATTATTTGCATTTTACCCAATTTTATATATCAATACAACAAATTCAAAAATGTGCTACAACTTTACAAGCATTTGATGCAGTTGCACTTCAGAACATCACAAAAAGGTTACTTAAAGTAATTTCTATACAATATTGTTTGTTTTTCATTTACCAAACTCTATGCAGACTTGAGTCTTTTGAAATTTAATATGAAACTCAATTACAGAAAATCCGTAAATATCCAGATTTTAATATTTACTTTTTAAAGAAACAAGTAAAATCCTACAATTGTGGCAAAAAAGCCATTGCCTTTCCATGAAAAAAGAAGCAAAATAGCAATGATAACAAATAAGCTAAATTCTCCTGTGAACCGTGGAGATGAACTTATGATATACTTTTTTTTGTATAGACTAAAGAGTTTAATCGATCAAAACGTTTGACGCTGGTAAGAAAACGACGGCACTTTATTCATAGATGTAGCTGACATAGCTCTTTTCGTCGATAGTTATAAATACATCCTCGTAGGAGCCAATAACTGGAAAGCTTAGTTGACTCGCTGTTAGGAATTGTAGGTTTTTATCGTGATTTTCATCAAAAAATTGCTTGCCAAATCCCAAATACACACATACATTTTCTTCACTCTTTCCTCTCAGGAGGGAGGGAAATTGTGGAATTTTCGGAAAAGCGGTCAATTTCCAGTAAATACGCGCAACGGACGAAATCCGCCATTTTGGCGTCATCAGATATCTAAGGTCAGTGCTTGAGATAGCTGCCCAGTTATTATAGAACTCAATGGTATTAAGTAACCAATCCCAAAACTTTCGTGTTGGACAATATCCAGTGTAATGTTATTGATGGTAACGGCTAGCCGTCATTGGTATTAGATCCAAAACAAATTCTCATCTCTTTACATTTGTTTCATTTAACTGGAAAATAACACGCGAGATGCTGTTCGCTAATGTGTCCATTTGGTTTTGTAAGTTACTTCAACATCTTTCTAATTACTTCACTAACAGTGGTATCGTCCATCGAATTTCCAAGCATTTCATTATTTGGTAAACTTGAGATCGTTAATCATTATCAAAAAATAGCCAAGGCCCTAATTTTGTGCCCTGCGAACGCCTGCAGGTAGGAGTCTCTAATCTGAAAAGCATCGAATTTCAGCTTTACTCTTTGTTTCCTAAAGGAGAGGAAATCCATAATCCAGTGTAGAACCCATTTCGGTATATCAAATGAACGTAGTTTTTCAACAATAAGTTGGTGATCAATCAGGACTCAAAGGCTTTCTTGAAACCAATAACAACACACGCACGTTGGCCGCCCAAGTTACCATCAGTTGCTTTATTCCACGACTGTAACATACCAAGTAAAGCTATAGTTGTGATGGAATTTGGAATTGCCCCATACTGATTAGAGTCTATCTTTTAAGTACAGCTGGCTGATATAATTTTCCACAACAAACTACCTCGGCTACTTTTGATACACCGCAGTAAGCGATATAGGCCTTTAAGTGTTTATTAATCTCACAGGTTTCTGCTTTGGAATCGGTGTAATATTTGCTTTTTTCCAAGGATTCTGGTAACTGGGCCTCTTTAAAGGAGCTTTGAGTAATATCTGCCACGGGAGCGGCAAACTTTAGCATTCTCTTTAGGAACAGGCGGGAATACCTGTCTGGGCCATTATTTCCCTGGCGTCGCTGACAAATCTTGAAAGCAGTAAACTCAGTGACAGTAATAACCCTGGAAATCATCATTCGGATTATCAAAGCATAAATAAGCAAGCGGTGGGTTAAAATCTTTCATGGGTGTTAGAAAGGATTCGTTTATCATGTTTGCAAGTTGCTCAGGAAAGTGATCAGAGAGACCAATTAATTTCAAAAAGAAGTTTGTAATGCCTAAAAGTAAATATTCGGTTGATCTCGTTTCGTAAGCCACCCATCGGAAATCTTGTTTTATAGAATGAGTTTATAGAAGAGGCCCATCACGAGCGAAGCCACGTAAGCAACGTTGGTGATCTCGTAGGTAAATCCTCAGATAGCGCATCGAAACATGTAAACGAGCATGTAATCGACCCTGCCGAACATTTGGTCGGTCTCTTCAAAAGGTGCATCATGGGAAGGAGACAGGGATAGTCATGATACTATGGCAGAAAACGTAGACATGAATATTGATAAGTCTATTGGGAAAAATATGCGTACAACTGGATCTAATACATTTCAAAATTCGACCAAAAAAATGCTACCAAGGACTTGAGTCGTAGGAAAACAAAAAAGGCCTCCCTCAGTATATCTCCCATTGCTCCGTCATTCATTTTATTTGACCAAAAATGTGTCTATCCCGCCAAATTCACGCCGTTTGCCGGTATACGAACAAAAATGTCAAGAATGAATTGCTTTACGGAAAGCAGACAGAGCAACGACGTCCATTTACAAAAAAACAAGCATTCGTCAGCGTGCCACCTATACCTTTACCCCCACCTTAGATAAAAAGGTAGTTGCCGATCTCTAATGTTGATTTTTAGGGTGTTGCTTGAGTTTTGAGCTGTCGAAATGTTTTTTTACATTTTTGTATCAGAATGCAGGCATAGAAATCGACACGTGCTCTATCTTGAGCAACACGCAATGAGGTGGAAAATATACAATTATTTGGTTTTGTTTCTCTATAGAGAATAATTTATTTCATTATAAATGTTTGTGTTTGCCTTTGTGCCTCAACTTCGATCAATGTGCCCGCAAGTCCCAAGATTTCTCGCATTATGAGGTTGAGGATAGTTGATGAATTGGGGTATCATGCAATATGAGGTTGAGGATAGTTGATGAAGGGCGTATCATGCATTATGAGGTTGAGGATAGTTGATGAAGAGGGTATCATGCAATATGAGGTTGAACATAGTTGATTAAAGGGGTATCATGCATTATGAGGTTGAGGATAGTTGATGAAGGGGCATTATGGCACAGGAGGTTGAGGGTTAATTGATGAAGGGGTGACAGAATATGAGGTTGGAGGATAATTGATGAAGGGGGTTAATAAGGAGGTTGAGGATAATTGATTAAATGGAGCCATGCACGTGAGGTTGGAGGGAAGGATGGAATGGACAGTAAATGGAGGGAAAGGATGAAGGGACAAGGATAGGACAAGGAATGGTGGATCAGGGGTTAAAGATAGTTGATTGAAGGCATCATGCATTATGATGTTGAGGATAGTTGATGAAGGGAGTATCATGCATTATGCTAAAATTTTGAGATTTCTTGAGGACGTCACTACTGTTGTTATAATGGCTAGCCCATTTAGTGGTCCATTGAGTCATTGACTGAAGCCTGTCTCTCTCAAACAGACGTCCGACTTTGTTTCAGTCGTTTAAGTCAGCCGTCCATAGAGCGCCAGCTAATAAAACTAATAAGACAGACTTTTAGTTGGTGGTAATTGGAGACAAAATATTACTTGTTGATAAATGATCTATAATATTTCTATTACAAAAATGACCGTCAATTTCAGCATTCTCATGTAGTTAATTAAATATTAGTCATTTACGTTCGCGTACCTATTTTAATTTTTATGGTAGCGCAGTCATCGGTAGAGTGTAATCAAAATGCAAAGGCTAACATAAAGTATCGAGACGAACAATACTGCGGCATGTACTGCAAATTCCATTAGTGAAGGGGCGCGAACTGCTTTGGCCTCCGCAGTCAAAATTGCACCACCACGCTACTAAGGGAAGCATTTATGACATGTTCCAGCAAAGTGCTTTTAAAAGAGCCATTCAATACAAAAAAATAATGTATAAAAAAGAAATATTTATTCATTAGCGTAACGTTTCGTCTTGACTCTCAAGCTGTATCACCACCAGAGTAAAATTACAAGTAATGAGGGATTTATATAAATAGTTATTTATATAATATTAAATTACATGGTGGGATGAAAACGTGACCCCAATAGCAAAGCCAGCACGTTTTCACTGCTACAATGTAAATATTTTTGTGTTCATTCACCGGAAGACAATAAAATGAACCAATTTTGTAAAGACATCGAAATATTTGAATTGTGGGAGTAAAAGATCAGGCTAATTTCGTCACTGATTACTCCATCATAATTTCTGTAAGAATTTCATTTTCATGATGGCAGTCCTTCACAAGATTAGGAAGGGCCAAGGCCTCCTTCTTGTCAGCCTTACTTAATCAATCCTTTGTAAATCCCTTGCCACAGTATTAATATCATAAATGTTACTTACGAGCATAGATCTTACCGTGTTGTTTCAAGTTACTCTTCTTATTAAACGTTTTACCAAAATGTTCACTTGATAAGGTTTTTCTTGTGTATCCTCATGTGTCTTTTAAAATTATTAGACCTTAATCTTTTACCACAATGTTCACATTGATAAGGTTTCTCTCCAGTATGTACATTACGTGACTTTTAAGTTACAAAAGCTGTGTAAATGTTTTACCACAGTGTTGACATTGATAAGGTTTCTCTCCTGTATGTATCCTAAGGTGTTTATTCAAATCACAATTCTGTGAAAATGTTTTACCACAATCTTCCCATTGATAAGGTTTCTCTCCTGTATGTATCCTAACGTGTCTATTCAAGGCACTATTGTGGGTAAATGTTTTACCACAATGCACATTGATAAGGTTTCTCTCCTGTATGTATCCTAAGGTGTTTATTCAAGGCACTATTGTGGGTAAATGTTTTACCACAATGTTCACATTTATAAGGTTTCTCTCCTGTATGTATCCTAAGGTGTTTATTCAAATCACAATTTGAAAATGTTTCACCACAATGTTCACATTTATAAGGTTTCTCTCCTGTCATACCATGACGTTTTAAGTTACCAAGCTGTGTAAATCTTTTACCACAATGTTCATACTTATATGTTTCTCTCCATGTATCGCCACCATGACGTTTTGGTACCAAGCTGTGTAACCTTTTACTACAATTTTCACATTGGTAAGGTTTTGTCTCCAGTATGTATCCTAACATGTTTATTCAATTTAGAAAGCTAGTCCAACATTTTACCACAATGTTTGCAATGATAAGGTTTCTCTCCTGTTTGAACCCTCACATGTCGTTTTAATCGTGGATTTTTTCCAGCATTCATTTTTCATGTGAACATTTAGACAGTCTCTACTACTGTAATTTCTTTGACCACAACGTGGACATTCCCAGGATCTTCGTACAAACAAGCATTGACATCGTTTTAAATGTTTCTAAATAATCGGGATAAGTATACATCCTTCCACAGTCTCTACAGCTGTGACCTCCAACTAAAAAGAAAAGTTAGAATTACATCACAGGATAAAGAACTGAATGATCATACATAATTCCATTGATGTACTTCAAAGCAATGAAATTTGTTTGAAAAAGTTCTCCATCGTTAAAACAACTGCATTGTTCACAATTTTAAAGCAAATATCAAATCACAGTAATGAACTGATGTTTAAAATATTCATGACTCTACACTAAAAGTAAAGTAATTTCACAAATGTTAAGATCATCATCAGCACATCTTCCACTGTATAAATCTTTTTTGATGGCTTCTTTAATGATCGTCTTTAAAGAAGTCTTTTCAGAGCTTTACAGTTATATTTGATGGATTTTCTTTTAATGATGGATTTAGTTTTTTGTCATTTACATCGTTGACCTTGGTTTTGACGTTGACGAATTACCGATTGTTTTAGAAGAAACCTGTAAAAAACGTTTGATTGAAATTCATCCAAAAAAATGTGAAAATGTTTACTTAGCGCTCATCCTTTCCTTTTTATCCATTTTCTAAACATACCTGTTTATTTGCAAATTTCTTCACGACTTCAGTTTTTAATGTTGTTTTAAAAACTATAAGAAAGCAATTTCATTTTTAAAAAACTATACTTCTTACAGTCAAAATTGAAAATTACAAAAGAAATTCTCAGGGAACGACGTGTAGGTTGTCGCGATATTAACATGGTCAGACCCAAATGCTTTCGTTTGAATTTCCATTGCTCGTATGCAAAAATGTTTGGCATTTTCGTACTCTCCTATTTTACTGTAAACCAAACCCAGATTGTTGTAATACGTTGTCGCGATATTAACATGGTCAGGTCCAAATACTTTCGTTTGAATCCACCGCTTGTATGCAAAAATGTTTGGCTTTTCGTACCTCCTATTTTACTGTAAACAAACCAGATTGTTGTAAGTTCTCGCGATACTAACATTATCAGGTCCAAATGCTTTTGTGTAAATTTAATGTTCGTCGTAAAATCTTTTGTTTTTCGTAATTTCCCATATCTTTGTGGAACCAAACCCAGGATTGTTGTACGTTGTCGCTATATTAACATGGTCAGGTCCAAATGCTTTGTTTGAATTTTCTACTGCCTGTCTATGAAAATCTTTGCTTTTTTCGTAATTTCCATTCTCCTGAAGCAAACCAACCCATTCCTTGCTGTACGAATATGAAAACATCAACATGATTAACACCTAACACTCTAGTTTGAATTGTTGTTATATCCTTAAGTACATTGATGGCTCATTTAAAGTTGTAAAATTTTTAATACATTTGTAAAGTAATTAGCAATTTTCAAATTGCTTACTGGGTTCTTGTTTTGATGATTTTACATCGATCAACTTATTTAGGAAATGTTGAAAATGATGAATTTGTTATGTGAATTGAATAGAGGGGAATTATTTTGATTTGATCTTTCTGTCTCAAAATGATAGAGTGCCTGCGACTTGACACGCAAGTAGAGACATCTTAGTCGAATATTTTCTTTTGTTTACTGCAAGAGGTCTGCCAAAATTGATAATTTATGATGGCTTCATGTACAACGCGATGGTATGGATGTCGTTGTTTCTTCGATTGGAAGAATTAACGAACAATGCTTTAATTGAAGAACTATATCTTGTGCAGACGTATGTGGATCAGTGCTTTAATTAAATTGTATGATAATATCTTGTGGTAAATGGATCGAAAGATATTATCGAGAAAAGACCAAAAACTTTCCCCATTAATATGGATTCTTGAGTACTTTTTTGTACTGCCAGCTCAACAGTTTGATCCTTATGATCATTTTTAGTTGTATTTCCATCGCATTTTGTACATTTAAGAGATTTTTACAAATAAAGCTCAATAAAAATTTTAAAATTGTTTTGAGTAAAGAGACCAAAAGTAGCCAAATAGCCAAAAAAAATTCCTGAGCCAGAAAAGAAAAAAAGACTGTAACGAGTTATTTGGCCTCAAAAAGGCCAAACTAACAACCCTGAGCCAAATATGGTTTGAAAAGTGGCCAAAATGGCAACAAGAGGCCAAACTTGTTTTCTGAGCCAGCACTGTTTATGGCATGCTGTTTTGAAAATTTTTTTTCTTTATTCTTTAATTCAATTGAAGACAATTAAGAAAACTTTTCGAGAAAACTATTAAAACTTTAACAAAATTTCAAACAAATTGTCAAAAAGAAAATATTTATTCCTGAGCTAAATATTCAAATCTTCTTTAATCATTAAAGAAGATTAAAGAAAAAATGATTAAAGAATAAATGCCATCCCTGCTGTCCCCAGGCGACAATGAACTGTTATCCTATAAGAATACAAGTGAAATGTTAGAAATACAAAAAGCAAATGCACTATTATTAGTGCATTTTATTGTAGAAAATTTCCATAATTTCCCAGCCATATAAAAACACGGTAGAGTTAAAAAATATGAGTGACATTCAATGGCAGGCTACAAGTAGAATACCAACGTCTAACACACAAACCAAAGCACTACCCCCCCACACAAAATCATGTACATATCCATCCTATATCAAATGCTGCACATTATCAAACATAAACAAACATCATGAATAATTCTATCGGAAATATCCCTCCGGCCATTGATCCAAAACCATGAGGAATTACCCCAAAACACAAATTTTATCATTATCATCTTAAGTAAACATCACACTTTAATAAAACTGATGCACCTCACCTGATTTTGCTCCCAGTGGCTGCCTTCCACTTGTATTCATGATAACTTCATTTTCATCATCATCATCACCAACAAAGTCATCAAGACTGTTGAAAGTCTCAGATTGTAATGACCTTTTCCCTTCATCTCTGATACGATCTTGAAGTTGACGAAGATTTGCTTCATGTTCCTAAACAACAATTCATATTCAGTCCTTCATCATTACTTCAAAAGAAGTTAGTGAAGTCAAAATTACGCAAAATTAAGCAAAAGAAGTTAGTGAAGTCAAATTTACGAATGTGCTGAAGTTGCTAAAACCAAACGAAATATATCAAATCAAAAAAGACAAAAATATGTACCGACGAATTGAGATGTCATGAATTGAAATGACGGTGAAAAGTCATCGTGAAAATATACCTGAGTTTCAGAATGCACATCCTGTACCTTATCATTATTTCTTGGCTGAATTCTGGTGAATTCTGGAGGTCTTCTTTCATCACTTGCATATCTTAAAACGATTAGTGAATGCACATAACATTAAAAATAATGACAATAATGTTTGAAGGTGAAAAATCTCTCGCGTAAAATTACTTGTTTGGTATTTGATCAGGTGCCTTTACACCATCTAGTAAATGGAGAGCCTCGTTGATTTTCGTTAATAATTCATAACGCCTCTGACCATGTACCTTTTTTAAAAAAAGTAAAATACCTTCGTGGTGATAATCATTTCACATAATCTCCAATTGTTCTCACCTTCAGATAAAACGTTTCATCGGAACTTGAAGATGAATCAGCACATTCTTGGCTCCACTTCAAATCCACAACAAATCCATCGCTCACATAAGGATTTACTGGAAAATAATGTCGATTAAAATCACGTGCTTACTTATGAATACAAAATTTTCAAAAAACATACATATCTCATATCATAGCACATAGGAAGAAACTTTCTATGAATTCTTTCATACGTAAAACTTACGTCGTTTACGAGGTTGTTGTCCTTGCGTGATAGAGAACTGGAACAGTTTGGGTGAGCTGGAGTCTTTAACAGTTGACATGAGTACACTCTGTCGAGGGGGGTATAATGTTGTTGTGGATGATGTGACGTCTGTCGTTGAACTGGGTTCGTTGTCCTGGTGTTTGTTTAGCTTTGAATTAGATCCAAGGTCCTTGTCAATGTAGTCCCTTCCAGGTGAAGCACATATACGGATCTCAACTACAGCTAAACCTTCAACCCTAGTCCCTAGAACTGACAGAGGAGAAAGTATGAGCCTTTGACATACATGTATATCACATACAATACATGTATGTACTATCTCATTCCTTATAATCCATCAAATCCATACTATACAATAAAAGTAATTAAATAATGTACCCATATTCCAGTCGTTCATTCATCCAACACAAGAGTTAAAGCATGTAAATCTAAACAATTCCTGGCGATATCCCTTATCTGCAAAATAATTTACAGCAAAATTACTAAATACCTGTGTATGTAAAGAAATTAAAGTGCTAAAATAAAATACAAGAGCAGCACATATACCATCTGCTCTTCATAGCATCAGCTGTATGAATATAGACAACCTTTTTGTCTTTAGCAACTTTCTTGCATCTTTGTTTGTGGATTATCACATCTCATTACATGCTAGGATACTCTTTTAAAACAAATAAAGTCAATTCATATTAAAAGTCGTTTCATCTCTCAAGTTTTAAAAAAGGTGAGTCTTACTTTCTGGGCAATGTATTTTTATGATTTGGACAACGGACAACAATTTCTTGATAATTTTCAGGTTTTGTACATAAGAATACTCACGAATCTCCGCTACCAGAGGGTGATTGCCTAGATAAAATATCTAACATTACATTCCTCACAAAATTGAGAATAAAAATACAGAAATCGATTTGATTCTTTTACCTTTATTTTAAACATTATTGAATGACACATTGCATCTTAACAAATAACTTTTTACGTTCTTCAACGTAAAGACACGGTGTTGCTTGGTTATTGGATAAACTGTGGGCTCAAACTCAATATTAAAATTGTATATTCCTGGATAATCCTTATTGCTAAGAATTGGAGCCAGCTCTATTTCTATATTTACATGACCTTCCCCCTAGAAAAATAACGAACAATTGTTATAAGGCAATATTTGTCGTTTGTTTCTTCTGTTGTGCGTGAAGAAAAAAGACAATAATGTAAGTTTAAAAGCTGAACTACTCACTACAAATTTATTGTTTCCTAAATGTTCAAATTCGTATAATAAAAATTAATGCCCAACATAAAGTTTTAATTAGAGCCATAGAAATATACCAAAAGTTGTAAAATAGTTCTAAAGATAGCAAATACCATAGTGAATGGTAAAAGTAATATAATAAGTTGATAGTTCTTAAAAGAACTGTTTTAAGTAAAGAGCACTAACCCAATAGTTCTAAAATAAATCTTAATGCACTGGGGAAGAAAGAAGAGATACGTTCCCTTTGAGGACAAGTGTTGAAGCTGCTACGGTTTGTATGTGGGTCAAACTACACTTCATCTACACACCACTTTCGGAGACGGCAATATCCCCCTTGTAGGCAAACTAAGTTTCCCACCCTTCAAGTTATCGAGCATTTTGCCTCACATTAACGCAACTGGACACACCCCCAACCTAGACGACTTTAAAATAATCTCCCTCTTCTAACGATTCTTATGAACTCCATTCATGAGAGCCTTCTAATCAATAAATAAATACAAGTTTCACTTAACGTGCAAGGAAGTTCCATTCCAACTTAACCTCCTTTAACCTACATTAAATTTTATTTATACAATATATGTAATGAATTTGATTTCCACTCAGCAAGTCTCGCTACTATTTTAAATGTTCAAATTTTACTAAAGCTTTAAAAATAGAATTGTCAACAAAATTAGCTGTGCAATTCCTTCATCTGATAGCTACGATGTTAAATCACATGGCAAAATGATCAAAGATTACTTGGCACTACTTCATCTAACGTTATTTTAAATCAACTGATCACGTGTTTTTTAATAATGTGCAACAAAAGAAAATGTTTTGTTTATATTGTCGCACAACATAAAACATACTGGTCTCAACCATTATAGTTTTAATTCAAGTTCTCTTTTCCCACTACATACATAAAATATTCTTAGAATAACAACTGGTAGAAATTAGAAATACCATTTCTTACATTCAACATTGTACTTTAATCATCATGGCCATTGGTCAATGGCAAACTTTCTTTTTCCTAAATTGACAAATAAATAAGATTCACATAAATGATGCAAACTTTGTAGCCTTTTGATTTTGGATAAAATATGAAATATCATCTTAACTTTTCTAAACTGCATCTGAGCTAAATAAATTAAACTGAATCTTCCTTTCAAAAACAAATAAATCCCAACTTTCAGGGCACTTTCATGAAAGCACACCTACATCACTGACTGTAGAAGTATAGCTGTAAATGTACATCTTTAAAACACCACCCCCTTAACAGAAATATCTATTTTCCATCTGCTAAACCATTTGAACACTTTCTAACTATAATCAAATAATTTCATAAAGAAATCACAATACAGATTTAAGTCATTGCTTACAAAATGTCTGTTACATTTAATAAATAAAGCAAGTCCATAAAAAAATAAACCTAGCAGTGTATGTGGCACAAATTAGTCTACCTGAAAGTTATACTTCGTGTATGAAAGTTCTATCTCATCATGATCTATAAGATAAAAAATAAAAATTTAACATCAACTTTGACTTCTCCTCTTTTCTAATGCATACATTAATCACTTTTCACTCTATCACCTCATTTACCACACCTAATCCTACATTGATAAAATTTTCATAAGTCCCATCTTGTTGACACTACAGAGTGCTGTGCAATTTTTTTTAACAGAAACATACATAAACAAACAGTAAAGTGATTTTGATTAGGCCACTATATTAACAAGGGTATTAAAACATTGCTTCATAAGCACTTTCAAGTCATGTTAAAAGAGCTTCCTTATGTCATGAATAAAGTAAAACATGAACATGTAAACTACATCAATGGAGACCAGTGCATGCATTAAAAAGTCAAAAGCAGTGTCCATCAAAAGTAATGTGGGTGGGTAAATTACCCAAACTTGTCAAGCCAATGAAATTGTGCAGACTGAACTAATTATTCAAAATTGTCATGTTAAGCTATCTAATCATGCATTACAATTGAACAAAGATTCAAAACATAAGTGATGTTATAAGTAAATTTTGCGCACAACAACGGATCCAAAAATACAATACAAAAATACAGGCACAGAATCCAAACAGCAGAGAAGCAAACATTTACAAAACAAAAATTCTTTATATGCTTTGAAAAACATAACCATATGTGGCATTGTTCAGCAAGCTAATGACTTTTAGGATGTAAATTACAAAAGCTATTATCACAGCTGGTTATTTTTAAGAATAAAAAATTGAAACCAAACATAAATAAGCACACACAAAACTTTTCACTTTCAGAAAGACTGATAGGAAATATTAAAAGTTAAGTATATTCAAGCAATAACTTATAAACAAGAGAAGTGTTAGAATATAATAGTTACGTCAATGTAATCACGTGTTCCGTAATCTGTAACTCAATAACTTTCCTGTTCTTACTTTATATATGGCGCTTTCTACACGTGCCTGCTTTGTGTTAAGTTGATACTATTAAATAAACCTTCTTTGTATAAACCAAAGCTTCAGATTATTTTATCAAGAAGAAGCCTTTGTAATTCTGGTTATCACAACAATGGTCATTTGTAAAACAAAGCCCACCTCTGTGACATATATTGATTTATCACCACAATAGAAGGGATAAGATTTACAATGTAAGGAGTTGATTGCATTTCTTTGATGTCAATTACCAAATAAGAGAACTTGAATGTTGAACAAATGCCAGTGGAAGTCAATAGAAAGATTGATTTTTTCAAGAGACAAAAGCTTATTACATTCTATTGAATTTCTATAACCACTCAAAAAATGAGGCAAGGACCAGAAGGATGAAAGCCACACAATACACAATATGGCTCATGTGAACATAGGAATATTTCAAGTGACTGTCACATCTTACACCTTTTCTTGCTTTCACATGATATCTAACTATATCAACTAATACCTACATTACTGGACAAGCAAAAGCCAAGAAAACATTTGCTACAATGACAAATGTAAAGATCTAATACGTAAAACATGGAATGGTTATGAACGAGCATACCAAGCACATGGCAACATGCATTACAAAGGTCAGATGGATTAAAGAAGGTTTTTTGAAAATTTTTTCTTTATTCTTTAACTAATTAAAGACAATTAAAGACAATTAAAGACAATTAAATAGAAAACTTTTCGAAAAACCATTAAACTTTTAATAAAATTTCAAACAAATTGTCAAGAAGGAAATACGATTCCTTGAGCTAAATATTCAATAGTGCTAAAAATGCAAATATGAAATAATATAAATTTTTATTTTGTTGTGCCGCCATCTTGAGACTTTAACAAGTCACCAGGCTCTGTATTCTCATCAAGACAACCTCATATTACATAGTGAATGCACAAGTGAACCATGGAGAAAATATGCTGTTATTTAATATTTTAATGTGACATTGGATAAACACTATTTCAGACGTAAGAGCATAAATAAGGAACATTAAAGACAATTTTAAGTTTTGATTCAAATCTTCTTTAATCATTAAAGAAGATTAAAGAAAAAATGATTAAAGAATAAATGCCATCCCTGCAAAGTGTCCTCATTTTCTTTGATCACAGACGAGCAACAACTCAAGGAAATACTAACTAAAATATCCCCAAGTCAGCATTATTGACCCATACACAGGATGGAAGTAACTTCTAAAGCATAAAGGTATGACACATTGTTACTCCGGGCGACAGCACACAAAAGAAATCAATGATATTCTAATGTTGCAAATTAAAATATTGCTATCAACTTGTGTCGAGAACACTGTTTGTTCCATGGTAAAACAAAAAGAAGGCAACAATTAAGCATCATGTATATTTTTGCTCATGAACTTCACAAATGTTCAAGAACAACGTGCGTGCCACCAGGCACACAATACATACAAGATTGAATGATGGAAGTCAGTGAAGGACAGGACATAGGAAAAGGAAGTAAAGATGATATTGAATGAAGAATCATATATTTCCTGAGAATACAAATCTAAGCATTCAACAGGTTATAAAAGTTAATAGCAATATGTAATACACAAAGTTTACATGTTATTAACTTTATAATCTTGATATCTATATTCAATTTTTCTAGGAATTGTATCCAAAACACTAAAAATGCACAAAGCAAATAAGTAAATTTGCTACATTTTACGAAAATGTACTCAACCAGTAAAAGTCAATATCAAATTCAACCAATGCAAATGGAACCACAATGACCAACACATCTTGAAAGATACTTACTGTATCAAGCTCACTAACCATAAATATCCCTAAACAATTTTAACATGAACAATATCATACCAGGTGGGATCACTGAATGTCCTTTGCAAGGAAGCCCATATCTCTTGAAAGGTCCCCTGAGATAAAATATCTGACTCTTGTGATGAAGGTTGACATGATTGAGACATCTAAAAACATACAAATATAATTTAGCACAACTATTTGTACAATTATAAACACCCCCAAGGTAGGCACAAATAATACTACACTTACTAGTAGCTAATAATACTTTATTTAACCTATTACACTAACACATATACTTTAAGGCCAATGTTTTGAAAATATGATTTCAAAGAAATAAACGGAAATTTCATCAAAATAACATTGTTATGAATTTTCAAGTAATGAATTCTTATTAATCCAACCCAACGCATAATTCCTTCCATTGCTGTAATATTACCCAAAATTACGTGCAAATGAAAACAAAACACACATACGCAAAGGATAAAAGACAAAAATCCATTATTACCACGACAATTCTTAAATCTCGTTAAACTCGTAGCTGCAAGAATGCAATCTGTAAATGCATTTCGTTTCCTTAGCATAAAACAAAGCGGCTCACGATTCCTTTTGTTGCCATAAAGACAATACAATTAAAGAACAGTTGTTATAGTGATTGCAGTGAAATTTAAATAAAAAGGAATTATTCATGATACAGTTGCCTGTTTTTGTCCATAGAATATGTTAAACATAAAGGACAAGTGTGACTTTCTTGCATAGGGCAATAAAAAATAAAATATGGCGTCAACCACGTGCTTGAAATATAGTTATGTAAAACAATGAACAACAAAAATGCGATGCAAAATCACATCACAACGCCAATACTTTGATTTGTGAAAAAACCCTGGTGCTACATGGCGATGAAAAAGTGCGAATTAAGCCTCCCCCCACATGTGTAAGTCGTAAATGAGGAAATGTGATTAATGCTTATTTTACTAAGGGAAACATTCAAATACAGAAAATCATGCAAATACCACCAAAGTATATAAATACCTTTACAAATCACAGAGCGATTGCAGAATACTCGTTCACTCACACCATAGAAATAGAGGGTCGGCACCATTGAGCTCTGGACAGAATAACTTATTTATGTCACATGATCATAAGTCGTGTAGATCTCCCTAGCGACAGTCAAACACGGAAGCCCATAGATCTTAAAAGCCTTATACTTGTATTTTATGTGAGAAACCATCCTTGTAAATATGCTTGAAGAAAACGTAATCAAAAGGTGAATCGCAAAAGATAGAAAAAATATCTAATTCTTTCTAAGTTGTGAGGACGGATTAAATCAACATTAAAGAAGGTATGTATTTTAGTGTTGAATATGTAAACTGTAAAGGCGTATAATGACACGAAAACCTGGAAACACTTTCTTAAATTTTGTTTAATGTTATTAACGAAATATAAGATAACTTTGTAACTTTACATATCTCGCTCGCCGCCCAACATTGTATTTTTATCTCAACTCTGGCTCTTGTAAAATATATAAAAACATGGCTCCGGCGCACAGGTCTTTATACACTACCGTGAAATTGGCACCACATTGGGCACAACATTCAACACAACATTCATCACAACATTCAACACCACATTCAACTAAAATTTATCATTCAAAATGATAAATCGAAAATCTGTCTTTAAAACACGTTTTCCATCAAATAAACAGTAAAACAATTTTAACTGTTTATTATTATTTTACTGTCTTAACCATCACAAAAAATGTATAAAAGTCAAGAAATTGAAGAAAACACTAAGATTTATATTACAGTGTACTTTCCATTTCTCTTAATTAGCGTATAACTTAAAACTACACGGTAGAATTTTTTAAACTTTATGAATATAGATAATTATATTGCCTAAAAATATATCCAAAATTTGGAGAGTGCACAAAAAATAAGTTGTAGAAAATCATCGGCAAAGTCGGATGACACGAATGCGCGTGAATATAATCTTCATATTTAAGTTAAGAATTGGTTCTTCAATAAACAAAGCCTTGTAAATTAAAACTACACGGTAGAATTTTTAAACTTGGCCATATTGTGATATTTTATTGGTTCATAACATATCCAAAATCTGAGAGTGCACAAAAAATAAGTTGTAGAAAATCATCATAAAGTCGGATGACACGAATGCGCGCAGTAATATAATCTTGCATATTTATGTTAAGAATTCGGGTCTTTTAATAAACAAAGCCTTGTAAAATTAAAACTACACGGTAGAATTTTTTTTAAACTTCATTATATTGTAGATATTTTATTGTCTATAATATATCCAAAATCTGAGAGTGCACAAAAAATAAGTTGTAGAAAATCATCGGCAAGTCGGATGACACACGAATACGCGTAATATAATCTTTCATGTGATGAACAGTTGTTTTTATTTTGCTTTGTCGTGACGTGGCGCGCATTTCACGTGATTGAAATTTTGGGATTATCACAGAAGGGGAGTTGTTGTTGAAAATGTAATTCGAGATGTTGCTGTTGTTGAATAACGTAGTGTTTCTTTGACGACTTCTGCTGTAAAATAACGATTTTATCATGCAACGTGCATGACATTGCATATTTAAGTTAAGAATTCCTGTCTTAACAAACAAAGCCTTTTTTATAAATAAAACTACACGGTAGAATTTTAAACTTGGCTATATTGTAGATATTTTTATTGCCTAAAATATATCTAAATCTGAGAGTGAACAAAAATTTATTAGGTACAATCTACTCTTTTATTAAATTGTTTAAAATAGTAAACCTGCTTGGTTGTTAGTAACCAAATTATTATGCAGTGACGTAACAGTGCTGGTTATTTTTGAAAATTTGTTCTAGTTGCTCATCAGTTTTAATTTTTTGAAAATTTAGTGGGGAATGAAGTAAAATGACTTGTTTTGGAGTAGTCGACCAAGTATTACTTTAATGCAGGACCTTACGTCACGGTATACTAGACATGTGCATTACTTATATTGTATTTTTACAGACTTACTGATAATTCATTTTACTTTATTATCTTATAATTAGAAATTTGGCTATTATTTACTACAGTATTTTTCTTTCTATCGCATTTTTACGTTGTTGACACTGACTGTGAATATCGATTAACAATTTCCAATTTTCTGGAAATGCTCCTCTTGCATTCTGAACTTATATGAAGTTACTTTATGCCTGTTTCCCGCTTTCTTAACACGTCACTTGTAGCTAAATAGAAATGCAGTTATTCATAGATGATTTAGCATTCTCAATGTATTCTCACAGGTTTATAATGCTTTAGTATATATTTTTTATGAAATTACAAATCAGCACTTACAATTTATCAGCACAAGTCCCTATTTTTGTCTTCCACAGTATATTTTGTTGATGTTGAAGAATTTAATTGTGTTAACAACGGTTACAATTAATATCCATGGAGAGATTTTTTCTGAAAATTATTTATGTATACTCGAAAGTAAATGAAAATACGTTATTGCAAATAATTGTTGAGACTTGAATTTGGTTTTCGGCAGATTTCAGAATTACGTACTTGGCTTTAATTAATCTGCTTTTACAGGTACATACCAGTAGTTTGAGGCACAAGTGGAAGCGGCTATTTTGTGCTGATCATGATATCAACGAACGTCAAAATCTGAAAAGATTTTACCATAAGACGTTTGTTAAATAACTGGAGCGTGTTTTTAAACATTCGTTACGAATACGTACTTTGCTTATTTTTGCTTCTCCAATCGATGCTTGCATTTCAATGGTCAGAATACACACAATACATATGTATCAGCAGAAACGCTGATTGCTCTAATAAATAAAAAAATTCAACACAGCTTCCTTTCAAAGCGTTGTGAAAATGAACATGTTATTGCCATTCACTCTAAAATCAATGAAAAGTACAAAAAATTGTAATTATAAATTTAAAAAGAATGGAAACAATCGTTTTACTTGGCACTCGCCTAGAAACTGGAAAAATTAGAGCAATCGCGTTTATGGTAAAATCTTTCAGATTCGACGTTCGTTGGTCATGATCAGCACAAATAGCCGCTTCCACTTGTGCCTCAAACTACTGGTATGTACCTGTAAAAGCAGATTAATTGCTGCTAATGTAATTGCTGAAATCTGCCGAAAACCAAATTCAAGTCTCTAACAATTATTGCAATAACGTATTTTCATTTACTTCAGTATACATAAATAACATTTTCAGAAAAAATCTCTCCATGGATATTCCAATTGTAACCGTTACAATAATATTGCAGTAAATTCTTCAACATCAATAAAACATACTGTGGAAGATACAAAAAATGAGGACTTGTGCTATAAACTGTAAGTGCTGATTTGTAATTGTAAAAAATATATACTAAAGCATTATAAACCTGTGAGGAATACATTGAGAATACTAAATCATCTATGAATAACTGTGATTTCTATTTAGCTACAAGTGACGTGTTAAGAAAGCGGAAACGGGCATAAAGTAACTTGCTATAAGTTTGTGAATGCAAGAGGAGCATTTCCAGAAAAATTGAAATTGTTAATCGATATTCTGATCGTGTCAACAACGTAAAAAATGCGATAGGAAAGAAAAATACTGTGGTACATAGCTGATTTCAATTATAAGATAATAAAGTAAAAGTAACTATCTAGTAAGTCTGTAAAAATACAATATAAATAATGCACATGTCTAATTATACCGTGACGTAAAGGTCCTGCATTAAAGTAATACTTGGTCACGACTACTCCAAAAACAAGTCATTTACTTCATTCACTAAATTTTCAAAAAATTAAAGCGATGAGCAACTAGAACAAATTTTCAAAAAAAATAACCAGCACTGTTACGTCACTGCATAATTAATTTGGTACTAACAACCAAACAGAGTTTACTATTTTTAAACAATTTAATAAAAAGTGAATTGTACTAATAAATTTTTTGTTCACTCTCCAGATTTTAGATATATTTTAGGCAATAAAAATATCTACAATATGGCCAAGTTTAAAAAAATTCTACCGTGTAGTTTTTTATTTATAAGGCTTTGTTTGTTAAAGAACAGGAATTCTTAACTTAAATATGCAATGTCATGCACGTTGCATGATAAAATCATATTTTTACAACGAAGTCGTCAAAAGAAAACACTTACGTTATTCAACAACAACAACATCTCGAATTCTTTTATTTTCAACAACAACTTTCCCTTCTGTGATAATCCCAAATTTCAATCACGTGAAATGCACGCGCCACGTCACGACAAAGCAAAATAAAAACAACTGTTCATCACATGCAAGATTATATTACGCGTATTCGTAAGTCATCCGACTTTGCCGATGATTTCTACAACTTATTTTTGTGCACTTCCAGATTTGGATATATTATAGATACAGTAATATCTGCCAATATGGCCGTTTAAAAAATTCTACCGTGTAGTTTTTTATTTACAGGCTTTGTTTGCAAAGATACCTTGATATAGGAAGTTAATTATTAAATACTATATTATGCGTATTCGTAAGCCATCCGACTTTGCAGATGATTTTCTACAACTTATTTTTTTGTGCACTCTCCAGATTTTGGATATATTTTAGAGAATAAACATATCAACAGTATGGCTGTTTAAAAATTCTACCGTGTAGTTTTTTATTTAGTAGGTCTTTGTTTGTTAAAGAACTGAATTTTAACTTATTTATGCAAGATTACACATTACGCATTTGAGTCATCCAATCCTTTGCCGATGTTTTTCTATCATTTATATTTTTGTGCACTTTCCAAATTTTGGATATTTTAGACAATATAAAAATTCTATAATATAATTTGAGTTTAAAAATTCTACTGTGTAGTTTTTTTAGCTATAGATGTTTGTCGAATGGTGGTGCCAACTTCACGGTTTATTCTCAAGGAATACTATTCCTTTATATTTTGTGCACTCCAGATTTTGGATATATTATAGATAATAAAAATATCTACAATATGGCCAAGTTTAAAAAAATTCTACCGTGTAGTTTTTTATTTACAGGCCTTTGTTTGCAAAGATACCTTGATATAGGAAGTACTTATTAAATTATATTACGTATTCGTGTCATCCGACTTTGCCGATGATTTCTACAACTTTTTTTGTGCACTCTCCAGATTTTGATATATTTTAGGCAATATAATTATCTATATTCTGGCTAAGTTTAAAAAAAATTCCTACGTGTAGTTTTTTATTTATAAGTACTTTGTTTGTTAAAGAACCGGAATTTTAACTTATTTATGCAAGATTATAACATGCGCATTCGTGGTCATCCGACTTTGCCGATGATTTTCTACAATCCTATTTTTTTGTGCACTCTCCTGTATCTTTTGGATATATTTTAGAGAATAAACATATCAACAGTATGGCCAAGAACTCAGGAACAATTTAATTGGCCACAATTTTCCAAATTTTGATATATTTTTAGACAATATAAAAATTCCTATAATATACTATGAGTTTAAAAAAATTCTACCGTAGTTTTTAGCTATAGAGCTGTTTGTCTGAATGTGGTCCAACTTCACGGTTTATTCTCAAGGAATACTTATTCCTTTATATTTTGTGCACTCTCCAGATTTTGGATATATTATAGATAAATAAAAATATCTACAATATGGCCGAGTTTAAAAAAATTCTACCGTAGTTTTTATTTACAGGCCTTTGTTTGCAAAAGATACCTTTGATATAGGAAGTTAATTATTAAATACTTATATTACGTATTCGTGGCATCCTACTTTGCCGATGATTTTCATAACTTATTTTTTTTGTGCACTCTCCAGATTTTGGATATATTTTAGGCAATAAAATTATCTATATTCTGCCAAGTTTAAAAAATTCTACCGTGTAGTTTTTAATTCATAAGGCTTTGTTTATTAAAGAACCTGAATTCTTAACATAAATATGCAAGATTATATTACGCGCATTCGTAAGTCATCCGACTTTGCTGATGATTTTCTGGCAACTTATTTTGTGCACTCTCCAGATTTTGGATATGTTATAGATAAATAAAATATTCTACATAATATGGCCAAGTTTAGTTCCCTACCGTAGTTTTATTTATAGTTCTTTTTGTTTGCAAAGTTACCTGGATATAGAAAGTTAATTATATAATATTATATTACGCGTATTCGTGGACATCCGACTTTGTTGATGATTTCTACAACTTATTTTTTTAAAATCTACTCTTTTGATATATTTAGTAATATAATTATCTATATTCTGCCAAGTTTATTCTACCGTGTAGTTTTTAATTTACAAGCTTTGTTTATTAAAGAACCGGAATTTTAACTTATTTATGCAAGATTATATTACGCGCATTCGTCATCCGACTGCTGATGATTTTACAACTTATTTTGTACCTCCAGATTTTGATATATATTATAGAGAATAAACATATCAACAGTATGGCCAAGTTTAAAAATCACCGTGTAGTTTTTTATTTACAGGCCTTTGTTTGCAAAAATACCTTTGATATAGGAAGTTAATTATATAATATTATATTACGCGTATTCGTGTCATCCGACTTTGTAGATGTTTTCTATCATTTATATTTTGTGCACTCTCCAGATTTTGACATATTTTTAGGCAATATAATTATCTATTCTGGGCTAAAAAATACCATGTACTTTTAAATTATAGGCTAATTAAGACAAATGGAAAGTACACTGTAATATAAGTCTTAGTGTTTTCTTTCAATTTCTTGACTTTATACATTTTTGTGATGGTTATGACAGTAAAATAGTAATAAACAGTTAAGAATTGTTTTTTACTGTTTTATTTGATGGAAAACGTGTTTTAAAGACGATTTTTCGATTTATCATTTTCAATGATAAATTTTAGTTGAATGTGGTGTTGAATGTTGTGATGAATGTTGTGTTGAATGTTGTGCCCAATGTGGTGCCAATTTCACGGTAGTCTTTATACATTGAGCAACATAGAGCATGTTCATATTCTCTAATATTCACTTTTTTTTGAAATCTTCTTTTTGCTGATCTAGACCAAAACCAAACAAACAAATGTTGACATAATTCGTGAAATGAGCAAGAACAGAATAGGATTAATAGTATTTAGCTAAAATAGCAAACTTTGTAATCGAGTTTCCCTGAGGTAAAAGCTTGTCTTCATACAACGAGAATGAAAAGTAAAACAGTCATTTGCATGCACCCTTAATTATAACCCCAAATGATAAATAATATGCACGAATTAAACTGTTGATTAGTTGATAACCATTATATATGTGTATAGATGTGTATATGTGTGTATAGGCGTAGGAAGCGGAGGGGCTAAGGGAGCTTTAGCTCCCTAAAATTTATATAGGGGCTTATAAAACTTAAATGTTCCCCCAGTTATTCTAAACCACTATGAACCAAATTAAGAAAGAGTTATTTTCTTCATTGGTTAGAGTTAGTGTTTGTTACAATATGAGTACAGATTAAATATGATCCCTTCATAAACCTTCAATAACAATTGAGTAAACTGACCACCATATTTTGCATGCAGCAATGCCTGCAGTGGCATTGTTGAGTTGAACTTCATGAGCAGGCTGATAGCCGTTACATATTTTGTTATTTGAAGCCTGACCAGTAAAGCTGTGATGTATAATAAGTACGATGTATAACTATAGTTGAACACTTAAAGTATATTATTTGTGAATAGCGTGTGTAATTTCCATAAAGCGTATATGTCGTTTACTTAAAAAGAAATTCAGCATGCTGTGTCAACTTGCTAATATGTAAAAAAAACGTCAACGGAATTTTGTTAGTCTTCCGGAAATCTCACCAACATATTGCATTCTTTGTCAAGCGAGCGTAATTTGCATGGACATGAATAAGCTGCTCGATTTATCAATATCAAATATCAGGCTTGTAAGCTGTAGATTTAAAAAATACACACACTTTTTAATTTTGAAAATTAGATACACACAAACGCTTGTTATTACTCGAATATTATTGCTCAGGGCCGGTTGCACAAAGCCTCCTGATAGCGTTATCCATTGGATATTTTTAAACTTAAAAATGGTGTTTATATTTTTCATACGACAAAAAAATTTCTTAATCTTCGAAACAATGTTTTTATTTCTGTGATCGTTTAGTTCGAATCTTATACTTTTTTTAATATTTTTTATAAAAGTGTAAAAAAACTTGCTATCCAGTGGATAACGCTATCCTGGCTACGTGCCACCGCCCCTTAAAGTATAGACAACTGATCGAGTACTCTTTGGAGATAACAGACATTAGGAGAAAAGACTTGCATTCAATGACGTAAAGTTTGGCTCTGCAAACTTACACAATCAACCGAACTGACTTCAACACACCACTTTATTTGGCTAGATAAAGAATTGAGAGGGATAAATGTTTACGCAATTGTCTATATCCATGTGTACAGTATATAAACATTTATGTTTAAATGTACCCCCCCTTCATTCAAAACCAGTTAAACCACTATGAACCAACTAAAGAAAGAGTTATCTTCTTTATTTGTTAGAGTTAGCACTTATGTTTGGATTTAATTAGATCCTTCCCATAGTATTCACTGACAATTAAAACTACAAAAATCAAAGGCATAGTCGAACAGCACAAGTAGGCTGGTAGTCACAATTCTGAATTAACATTTTTTTCTTGTTTTTTGCATGCATACGTATACAGCAAGAATCACGTGATATTGCGTCAGTATCGGCTCGACAAATCGTTGTGTGTAAACGTAAACGTACCTTAAAACTAACCTCATCTGAAAGCCTTCTTTCGCTCATCAAACTTGTCTTTTTGTCTGTGACTCTTGCCATTATGCTGTACGACATACACATGTTTTTTGATGGAACTAATTTTAACACTCTCAATTCTTTTTCTTAGCTTGAAGACAATGAAGTTTTTGAGCAACGGAATAAAAGATTTATCTATGTTTACACATCTAGTTTTGAAATATTTCTTTGGTGTGTTTTTTGTGAAGTTTGTGTACGTGAATGGCAGTTTAGTAAGATCGGGTAAGACACAACTACTGGCAGTTCGTTGTTTATACTTATGTTTGTTACTTATTCCCTTATTCTACAGCAGTTCCGACAACTTTTCTCTGACAATTTTCTAAATGTTCATTAATTATTTTTATCTCTTTTAGATCCATGTCGCATAACTACGACCCCTCAAAATTACTTTGTTCGTGCTCCTTTGGGGTCAAACTTGACTCTTAGTTTTTCGTATAACTGTAAAGGAAATATAAGCTGGCCTGAAGATTATTACGTAACATGGTCGGTTAATGAAACTCTAATTTGTTCGATGATTTTTCATGGTTTCTTGATAAGATTAACTGACAAAGTTGACGATTCATATATGAATTCGACCTTCTCAAGCATAACTATAAATAACATCTCCATTAAATACAAACGATCGCAAGTCTTTGCGAGACTATCTATCACGGACAATTACAAACGCAGAGCTGGTTTTCCTTTTTATTATTCACGAATCACAATTTTAGTTACAGGTCAGTGTTTATTATTTCGCGCCTTCCGCACAGTGGAGGTACAAAATGGTGTCTGCACTGCCACGGACCATTCATATCATATGCAAATCTTTTTTTATGACTGTGTTAGAGCATTTGTGTGACGTTTACTGATAAAAAATGTACCACTCGATAATCATGTCAAATGATTGCCATTTAAATAGATCTTTTTATTAATGAAATATTTATAATTCAACAGAATTACAAGAAACAAAAAAATGCACGAATCAAACCGAAGTTGCAACAAACCACATTACTTTTATTTGTCTATGGTCTCACATGGCGTTGTTAGCATTCGATTACTTTATTTCTCTGTACATTTTGTTAGAAGTAATTAGCATCGTGTCATCGTATAAATGAAGATTTAGAGATATGCAACTTTTTCCACCAACAGTTTTGACAATACAGAATTTGTGTATAGGATTAACGTTATACTTATTTGAAAATATGATCCATTCACCAAGTCACTTCATTTTATGAACAGCCAAAGCCCCGAAATCCAGTGGCATCAGTTGAACTAGGCTGCCCGTGGTCATTTTAGGTTTGGTGCCCCTCACCCCAGAGTGCCCACTGCGTCTAACTCTGACAACTAAACAACAAACATTTTCTTAATAATAGTTAGTAGAACACAATAGTGACTGGTTTTCAATTCATATACAGAAAAAAAAACAATTATAGAACTTTCATTTTACTACCGTGAACACGATTTCATTAATGACTTTTAATGAGAAATATTCAATGCGTTAACTGGTCTAAATATAAACTTACATTTTTACCTTTATTTTTATAAATAACACCGTCCAGGTTACCCCCTTTGCAAATTAAATGCTTGGGTGTCCATGGCTCTGCCCACCCAGAGCTCATAAGAGAGTAAAAAATAAATATTGGTATTTAAAAAAAGATGCTAAGTGCCCTTGAAATGTGAATGAAAATGGTCGATATTTCTGTATTTAATGCGCCAGGAACTCTCGCAGTTTGAAACATTTGCATTTTGATTCTGTTTTGGAAATGCTCTGACACATGCATGCCAAAAACGTTTTCATTTTTTTCATTCAATTTAAACTGAAAAATGATTTATTTTTTATATTTTTCTAGCTACATCTTCCAGCAGCCTGGATACTTCATGGATAAAAGGTAAAGTCATATTTATGACAAAAGTGACAGTCTATACGTTGTGGCTGTATCAAGAAATTAAACATGTATCTATGTATGTATCAAAAAGTGGAAAGAAAGTTATTTTTTACAATCAAACAAACATGGACAAGCAGTTTTGGTCATCGCACACGTTGCATTGTATACATTTTTTGTTACTTCTTTAAACCGTTAATAGACTTTCTTGTTGGGAACAACGTTGGAATTTTGTGTGATGGAAAAAAATGTACGGTTGATGGATAGCCAATTGCAGGCTCTATTAAAAAACGAATCGAAACATTTGATCTATTAAGTATATAATCAAAGCCGAGGTCAAGGAGCAGAAAATAATTACTTCTTTTTCTGTGTTCACTCATTGCATAAACAATACACCTCTAAAGAAATGAATAATGATGTTATTTAAAAATTTACATTGTTGAACCGACCGAAACTTGCTGGCTCGCTATGCCACTGTTTCAGTCGCAAATAAATTTAATTGTAATAATTACTTCTGTTAACTAAGTTTTTTTCGTCTCATATATGAAGACGCCAGTACTTCAAGTTTGCTATACGTATAGCGATGTACTAAAACTGCTTTTCGTAGTTATTGACCTGTGTACGTTTTTGCTAATTTGTTAATGGTTTCTAGAATCATTAATTTCGTTGTCAGGGGAAGTTACTTCATTATTGGTCAATACGATGTCATATTGTAACGGTACGTAAGAGAATCGATGGCTTATATATTTATATTAAATAAATAGGTAGTACTGGGAAGAGTAAATTTTTAAAAAAATAGAAGTAATAGTCCCACTCTGTTGAAATTTTTTGTGTATCACATAACTTGTTACGCCTGTGATTAACATTGTGGCAGCTAATAACTTGCATTTTCCGACCAATACGAGGGCATAGATGACTATCCACGGTCAGCAATCTAATTAATTATACAGCGCCAGGTTGTGCAGTGGAGTGGGGCTATACAATGGCGTTGCTGTGATGGATAATTCAAATTTAAAATCAATGTTAAGTAAAACATTTCGGAGTTTTTTGAGATCTGCACGTTTGGAATCAAAGATCATTTGTTTGGATTTATAATTGATGATCATGAGTTGTAAAAATATACAATGATATTTTAAAAAATGGATGCAAACTGTACTTGAACAATAAGTGAAAATAGTCAATTTTTCTATATTTCTAGCGCCAGGAACCCTCGCAGCTTAGTTCTTAGTATTTTTATTCATAAACATTGCATTTTGATTCTGTTTTGGAAATGCTGCATGCGTATATAGTTGTGCATGCATAACAAAAAAGTTTTCTTTAAATTTAAATTTGTATGGTTTATTTTATTCTTTTTTATAGCTACATATACTTCAAGGAGCCTGATTACTTCATGGACAAGGGGTAAAGTCATATTTATGATAAACGTGTCTATGTTGTCAGTATAAATTAAGAAATTAAATATAGCTACTTCATTATATAGGCGGTATGTCTGGTTCTTTGAAAGCCCAAAACTCTGGTGAATCAAAATTGATCATCTATAACAACACCTTCTTCTATGGCCTCAACTAATGTATCGATCGGAAAGTGTTAGAGAAAGTTATTTTTTGAAATGTCAAGCAGTTGTAGTTCCTGTGCATGTTGTATAATTTGTGTTTACATTTTGTTTAATTGTTTCATTCATCAATATATGCTTTATTATCTGAGCTTTATTATCTTGGGAACAACGTTAAAATTTTGACTGATGCCGGTCAATGTAGGGTTGGGAAAGGTGGTATGAATGAAAAACTAAAAAAATTCATTTCTCCTGATGAATTTATGTACACGTAACTACTTTGTTTTTATCCAATGCTGAAGTGCTGTGCTCAATGCAGTTGTAACTATTTTTATCATATGGAAACAAAATAATTTTGTATTTGTTGTGAATTATTGTGTTGTATATTTAACTTCTAACATCAATATCTTAAATGAATTTTAGCGTCCTTAAAAGCAAGTGCATAAGTCACCTCACCAACGATGTCCCATTTTACAAAAAGGTGGTGGACATTTTGTTAACATTGAAATACAAAGAATTTCGATTTCTTTATTTTCTGGAAATTCAAGTAGGCCTCGAGAAAATGCTTGCAAAAAGTTTTAGGAATCAAACATTCCTGGTAAATTTTAATCTATGCATTTTAAATATTTTTTGCGAAGATACTTTGTCACATACGTCTGTTTAAAATGGATTTTACCCATACTCCCCTATAGTTGCTTTTAAATTTTATACAGGAGAGTGGTTTAGCACATAGGGAGCTAAGCCTTTTAGCCCTCCACTTCCTTGCCATACACACATATATAATGCACTCATAAAATGGCTATCAACCAATCAACAGTTTAATTCTGTGTATATTATTTTACTGGGGTTATAATTAAGGGTGCACAAAATGACTGTTTTAATTTCATTCTCGTTGTATGAAGAGAACTTTTACCTCTGGGAAAGTCGATTAGAAAGTTGCTATTTTGTAAATTACAATCCATTCTGTTCTTGCTCATTTCATGAATTATGTCAATACGATGTTTATTGTAATGGCACATTAAACAACGAGTTATATTTGTTTAGATAGCTGGTATTTGTCAATGCATGGTAGAGGTGGTATGAATAAAAACAAAAATTCACTTCTGCTGATGAACATATGTACACGTACTACTTTGTTTCTATCCAATGCTGAAGTACTGTGATCAATGCAGTTGTAACTATTTTATCATTTGGAAACAAATAATATTATGTTGTGAATTATTGTGTTGTATATTTACCTTCTAACATCAATATCTTGATGGAATTTTAGCGTCCTCTAAAAGAAGCTATACGTTATTATCATCACCAACAATGTCCTCATTTACAAAGGTAGGAGATTTACAACATGAAGGATAAAGAATTTCGAATTTTCTTTATTTCAATAATTTACTGAGCTCTGAGAAAAGGCTCACAAACCTTGAGAAATTTACCTAATAAAATTACTATCTTAGCAAATATAATAAATCAATATTCTGGCACAATAATTTGTCACTATATGTCATTTTAAGGATGAATTTTTATCTCACCCTACAATTGCTTTAGGTTTTCATAACAGTAAGGCTAGTTGTATCCTACTCTTAATGCTTTATTTATATACGACTTTCCCTCAGCACTTGATTACAACAAAATCTCAACGACGACGTCACATGTAGATAAAATTCAGTCGACAGTTATGGTTGCACCAAATCAATCTGTTCATTTAAATGATGGTATGTTGGTATATTATATTAACATAAATTATGTCTGCTTTAGTTGTCCGTTGTTATCGTGATAAAACACCTTTGCAAAATGTCAGTTGAAGATGCAAGGTTTTGTAATGACATGATGGAATGTTAATTTAACATAAAAAACATCAACGAATCTGCTGCTAATGGGCTTGGACCTTTCTTGAAAAAAGTTGTATACACATTTCTCTCTGTACAAAAAGTTTGAAGAGAATTGAGCTTTTAAAATGGCGACTTGTAGTATATCGAGATTCACGTTCTACTTTGTAGAAACGCCTTTCTCGTTGATCTGTCATTAAACACATTTATTGTTTCCAAAATAAGTGTTGGGGATGTTAAAACAGACTAATCGAAACAGTATTATCACGTAGTACAACAAATGACAGATGTAGGCTCCCACATATTTTACTGTTATTTTACCTCTTATTAGTTCTTAAAAGGATTTTGTATCGTGTTGTAACGTTACCAATTTGTACAATAAAAGAGTTTTGAATTAACAAATAGATAACATTTAACCGTTGTCAATACAGTAGTAGATACACGGGTATGACGTCATTTTTGTAATCGGAACTAAAAAAGTGTTCACGAGCCGCCGTTTTATCTAATAAAATAGAGAAATTTCCCAAACTAAACTGTCCAACAGTTTGTTTTCTTTGTTCCCCAACACTTGAAAAATTGAAAAGTCTTGATTTTGCAAATATTACGCGTACATAATATAATAGGATTGAAGAAATGGTATTGAGTGGTATTGAGTAGATTAGTCACGTGATTAAATGCGATTAGCTAACAGATGAACAAACATTGGCTAATCAATTTTGTTAGAATTTTGTTATCGACAGTTTTCAGCAGTTTTACAAATCATCGTTTACAAACGAGGTTTTTTCTTTTCTTTTTGCTCAAATACGTCGATTGCTTCAACTCGGTATTTTTAATGTCTTCATTTGCCCATTCTACGATAAATTCAGGTAAATATTCCAGCAATTTCGCCGTTCGTTTGTCATTTAAATACAAGAAATTTCTGTGACGTCAATTACTTGCGTATGTCCTCTTATAGATCATAACTATCGACCAATAAAATTTCTCGAATTCTTATGGTTATTATTTAATTTTTGATAGATCATTACCCAGTCTCAGATGAAAAGCAACGAGTTGCATGGGCGTGGATATTTATATGTTTTAGTGCTGTGATTATCGTGATTATAAGCCTAACGTTGCTTAATGTATACAGTTGGAAGATTTTATTACGATACAGGCACTCGGTTGTATGTTGGTTGTTATATTAAATTAGACAGGTGTGTCTTATATGTTTAATGTTTATGCATGGCGCCTTAATAAATAAAGTTGTGTTTTAGTACAAATAACATTGCGCTCATGATGAAAAGATTCTGTAACTATAAAAGATTTTGTAAATTTTGACATTAGAACCATGGGATTTTCTTTTGAAATTGTACCGGCATATTGTTTGGCCTTTGTGTGTGTGTGTTTGTCTTTGAGTTTGGAAATGAAGCAAATTCCGGTAAAAAAGTAAAGTTATATTACGCTATTCATATACATTTTTGATTTTCCAATACTTTGTGTGACTGAATAAAGTATAAAAACTTTTTCCATTCTCATCTGAATTTATATATTCATGCCTAAAGTGAACATCGTAAAAACAATCTTTAAAAATAAGAAGAGCGAGTCGTAGGCAAAACCAACCAGGCTTCTGTGCGTTAATTCAACTCAGTTTAACACTCATTTACGTGGCAACTATCTTTCATTTTTCCAGTGTTATAAATAGGGAACATCTACTCTCTAGCTTTTTTTCAATCGCTTAGATAATTTCCTTATGATGAGATATATAGAAAATAATATTCAGAAAGGTAGCTGCAGCATCTTTTAATAATATTTTAGGAATTTTATCAAGACCAGCTACAATTAAAGGCTTTGCTTTTTTGAATTTGAGTGAACCTTAAAGGGATAAGTTGCACTTTTACTCAGTCTACTGTACAATTTCCTAACCTCTCATTATTTATCAGCTCTGTTTCATTTCACGTTTTATGCCAATTGTTAAATATGGGACGTAAGTGTTCTAACTTTGGGTTTTGATTGAGAGTTGACATTGAAAACAAAGTGAAATTTTTTAACTGATTCCATAATTGTTCCTCCAATGTTATGGTTCGATGTATTAAGAAAATAGAAAGATTGAAATTATTGGGATCATAGTTTTTCTATCATCTTAGGTTTGACCCGAGGTACTGATTTTTAAGAATGTAGTCACTAATGCCTGTGAATCGACATTTTAGCTAACAGAAAGTTCGCAATACCTGTATCTTTCAAATATAATGTAAATTGACTCGCAGTCACAGACTTTTTCTGAAAGACTCATAGAATCCGATCGTATTTGTTCTGATGACATGAATTCTGCCGTTTTCTTGTTAATAAACCAACTGTGAATGTTGTAAGTATTTGGAACTTTAAAATAAACACAATAAAAGGCGTGTGGTGATTGGTCTATAGCCGTGTTTTATTAGCAGCCTGTAAGCTCTGAGCTCAACAAAAATCAATTACTCAAAGAGAATTTTCAAATCAATCATGAATAAATTTTAGAGGACAAAATAAAAAATTTCCGTTTTAAATTTGATTTTTGAGCAGTAGCGTAGCCAGTAAAGTTTGTTCGTCTTTGTTATTTTTCTATAAAACTCATGAAAACAATAGATTTCTAAAAATAAGATGTAATGATCAAAATTTACATAGCACGACTATTGCGGCTGGCTACGTCACTATTTATGAGAACTCTCGAGCAGGTGCAACTTTCGGCCTCGGGCTTGCACTGATCCGTTCTTGAGTTAGTCAGTTGTCGTTTTGGTTTGCATAAATCTGCAAAACACAGTAAACATCTGTAGATTTTAAATAAACAACTCACAGCTCGTAAAAAATCGGTTTATTTTATGCGTTGTTCATTGTAAACTTGGGATGAATTTTTTTGGCAAATTGTTCAGCCCTAACTCCTTTTGCTTGAGACTGGCTGTGAATGCCTATGGTCCTACCAAAGAAACTTAAATTGAATGTTTGCAGTGCAGTTTCGTTGTTTGACGTTGAAACCCAACGAATTTATGATGAAAAATGACCTTCAACATGCCTATTTTTCTATTCTCTACAGGCTTTATGTTCAGCATTGAAATATATAACTTTCAGTACACTGTACAAAACTGATTGGTTAAAATAACCATAAAAATATTGGCGAAAAAGTTTAAATGCATCTGAGATAACCAATTTTTATGGTTATTTTAACCAATCAGTTTTTACCATAGTTTTTACCGTATACCCACCTTTTTCAGTGGCTCCACCCTCCCCCAGAGCATTTACAATTGTACTAAATCCGGTAGTTGTGCCAGTAATTGAGAAAACAAGGATTCATTATCATGAATGATAATGTTCACCGGTACCTGTTTGCTAAATCCTTAATCTTTGTGCATTGCTGAAGTCAACCACCATATTACCATATCAGTACCGTCTGGTAAATGGCACCATTTACAATGGTTACAGCTGCATGAAACCCATATCCTGAAGGCAAAAGTAGCTCATCTAGAACAATCCATCAACTGTCAGCTCCACCGCTTTGGATGATACGGAAATTTCTGCTGAAGACAGTGCATTAAGAGCAGAAGTGATCTCTGACTTCAACTCGTGGGCAACTGTACTAAGCCAACAAAAAATCATTGGAGTGATTCTTGATCAGAAAAACACTATTTTGGCTATTGAAACAGATGCATCGTTCTTAGGTTTGGTAGCAATTTCTCAACACTAGAGGACATTGGTCCTGGAATGGCAAATGATCATTATCCCGAAAATGAAAACATCCTTACTTGGCATTCACCTATTTGAATATAGACCTACACCTCACAGGAAAACGAATCTTCCACAGATGAATACTCGACAGATTTGGATATATCAATAAACGGTGAGGAACCAGATCTATGAGAAGAAGAGATGAATACTGGGATCAATCGGAGAAGAGATGACGGAGAAAGCCCAAAGATACTTTGCTTAACAAGAACATGTAATTCTTTAATAAAAACTGATTTAAAAATACTGGTTTTACAATTTAAAAATCATGTCGTTTCTCCTTTTTACTTAATATCACGCCTCTATCTTAACTGACACTCTATACTACATAAGAAGTAACTATCAACGTGTAGATACCAGTTCAGCTGCAAGTCAAAGATCTGCACCACTATTGCCTAGTCATCTCTTTCCTCAAAAACGTTTTATATGTGTGTCTTGATTTCCAGCGCGAACGATTTCTATAATGAATTAGAACCTATTACCATTTTTACGCAGACATCCAATCAGCCCAGCTTTTTCTTCGATTACAACAACATCACTCTAAATGCCAAACATAAAGAAAAGACTAAAGGGTATTGATCACTTTCTATACCTATTATCTCAACAACCTTCGCCGACCACCAACCAGAACAGATTCTTTTCTACAAACAATCTGCGGTCCAAACCACACACCATAATTAAACAATGTTCCCTATAAAACGTCAGCAATAAAGTTTTCAAGTTGCTTACAAACGTGTCATTGTAAACCATGACGATATATCTGCCAGTATTACCTATGTGACCTTGGCAAGTCGTCGATGCATATTTTCTACATACCATTGTGGAAGAGAGTGTAATTGTGTCTCTCAAATCTCTATAAAGTTAACTTTAAACGCGTTATTTTCATATTACAGTGACTACACTGTACATTGGACGCTTGGTCATAAAAAAATTATCAAGTAACCATGAAAGCCTCAAAGAATTATTAAACTTTTATTTTTTTTAATCTTCTTTCCACCCATCAGTTAATTCCTCTCATTAAAAAGCTTCATATTGTTGTTCTTAAAATAGAACTATATTCTAAAGGGTCAATTTTTCGATGTTGTGTGTATTTTACATAGATATTCTGCATGAAATCTGAATGTTCAAAACAAAGTTCTGTCTTTTAATACCACTACCCTAATGTTGAGATTTGCAGTTTTATATTGTTATAGGAACTAACTTTAAATATCCTGTTTTGTTTCCTTATTTTTTATATCCTGAAATTAATAGTTAGCAACGTGATGAGGATTTAATGTGCTAAAGAGAGGAGGGGCAGTATATGTACAAGCACTGCATAAGTTTATTATGATAGTGATGTTGCCTTGAGCTTTGATACGATAAAAAGCAATTAATGAATACAAAGATTATCGCACTGTTTTGTCAAATAAAATAAGCAAAATAACTGTATGTGTACTGTACACAAAAACACCCAATATGAAATGATTTTCTTACAAAGCTTACTCCACTATCCATTTCTGCATGGTAATCAGCAGCTTTTATTTGAAGTTTGAAATGAAAAATCTTTTGTTATACTGAGAATCTTTTGATTTTACCCGTATGTATGTTTCCACAATAATATTTACACGAATTGACGTCTTTTGGAGTTATATTTTCACGATGCTTGTGGCACAATTTTCGACTAGAATTAATTGAGAAAAACAAGATTTGCGCAAATAAATTAACAAATAAAAATTTTAATTGTAAATTTATGCCAAGACGTACATACAATGGTTAGATAGCTGGAATATATTTTTAATTAGACAGTATTATTTCAAGAACTTTCTTAGTTGTCTGACTAAGCACTGATGTAGCGAGTATAAAGGTGTTTCTGATTAAATTGATCTGAGAAATATTCTTAATGGCATTCTAATTATGTACCCCGTATATCTTACAAATTACTTAGGCAGAAGCATTTTCCGATAACAGTTTTGATAATAGCTATCAGATAAACTATGACCTTGCGCTGTACAAAAGTTTAATGTCTTGAAATCTATATTGATGTTTCGTCTTGTTTTTCGCCTGTATTTACACAGCACTATTAGTGGTTTTGAAAAGAATTTGTTAATGACTCCTTGGAGAAAAATTTGCTCATTTTTGCTTGAACTTGAGACGCAGCAGCATACGAAATTGTTTTAGAAAAATCACTTGAAAATGGTGAGTTTTTGCGTTGATTGTTCGATACGTACATCGAACTGAAAAAATTCTTCAGTGATTGCTTGCTCAATTTGTTAATTTAAATTTAATTTTTTTAATAAACAGCAATTGGTCATCTACATGTTGTTCGTTTGGACTTCTGTCTTTATTGGTTTAGGTATGTAAGGTGTGTTTTATGTTTCAAATAAGTTTACGCAGTTGCGTAACTACGTTAATACTTATCTTGGAAGTCAGTGATATAGTTAAAAAAGTCGATCTTGAATTGCGACGTTTTGTATATTTCGAATTTACTGCATGACTAGCATTACAGCATAAAGTTGTACACACATCTGCCTCGGTAAGAAACATTTTACGA